TGCTTTGCTTCTCAGGGGTAAAACGCGCGAGGGTGGATCCCCTTGAGTGGGCCTGGCGGGAGACCTCGAGAGTTTCCTCTCCGCAGCCGTGAACGCTAGCAAGACCCATCGAAAACTTGCATATCCGACCCCCCCCCCTTGATCGCAAGGCCGTTCAAAGTTCTGCTGTACGCCATACCTGAGACATATTCCGGGGTGGCGGGAGGGGAATGCTACCGTGTGTCATGAAACTAACTCATAGATCAACGCTAATCTATCATAGATGAGGGACTGCCACACTATTCATCCCCCCCCCCCCCCAAATGTCACAGATCAAGACAGTCCCTCTTCCTGTCCGACTTAAACACGCCCCGGCGATCAACCACACGGGCCACCTGCATCCCATCCCGCCCGTCATGAAACAGCGCTAAGCTCCGTCGCAGATCGGTCGCTGCTCAGCAGTTGTGACCCCCTAATTGCTTCTTCGAGGCTCTCGCACACTAGCCATCATTGGGCATGGTACGGAATACGCTGTTGTACGGAGGTACACAAAGGATATGTCACCCTTTCGTGGATGTCAACGGAATTGGCAATTATGCATGTAGTAGTATCCGTACGGTGTACGGAGCACATACATCTCGCCCAGCTTTTCTACAATGCCTATGCGGCACATACCGGTACCATTCTAACCACTGGCAGCAGGATGCCCCGGCCACCAAGTGGAGACCATCCCAGCACTCTGCCCTTTTGGGCCTCGCGAGCTGATGAAGAAGATCCCATTGAGGCGTAAACTCCCTCCGTCGAACCTTACATTCTCTTTGGCGGGGAATGGCCCATGCGGCATGATGTCGACTGTCGGCTGACTTGATTGCATTCGGTCAGTGCAGGCATGGCCTTGACACCTGAGCTGCCATCGAATTCTGGACCACTGACAGATACGAGACGCATTTTGATTGCCATGTGACGTTGGTCGCGATTGAGATCCTAGTCTCGTCCAGGCGTTGCAGTAGTTCGTTTCTTGCCCATGGCCCTGGGTCTACGGGCGTCCCAGCATCGACGTGATTGGATTTGATCTCCCGGGTAGGAAAACTACAGAATATGGGACACCTTGACTACTCCGTACGGTGGCAAGGATATCAGGGTGTCCCCTGGCGACAGATATGCAACAATGGTGAAAGATGAGCATCAAGCAAGCTCAATGCAGTAAAAACCGTTTCGGCCCGTGACTGGTTGCCTTGCCGGCCTTTCCGGGCAATCATTCCCTTGTAAATCGTCCCTTCCTATGGAAGTCTTATCTTTACTTGATCAAGAGGCTTGCACCGAAGTCTATCGAGCAGTAAGCTTTGCGTAACTGTAGCCAATGAGATAGTGCCTCGGATAGGGGCCTGAATGGGTTAAGCTATCTCTCCCGCTGATGGGAATCTGTGGCCTTGCATACCCACGCATGTCGGCAGATGGAATATTGATTTGGAATTGCAAAGTGGGCCTTCAGTATTTCATACAGCGAAGTGGAACTAGAGATGTTACCCCCCCAAAAAGGGGAATTAGGTTCATTTCCACAGCTTAATCCTCCAAATATCCAAGCCCTTTTGCGCTGAAGTTAAGGAATAACACAAGAAAGGCGGCAGGTTATGGAATAGAAATTTCTGATGAAAGTTTTCACCTCTAGATATGATCTCCAGGCTGTAAATAAGGCTTCAAGTCTTGATGAGACTCGCGCTATCCTTGAATTCAATTTGAAAAAGCATGGACGTTTTGGGTGTCATTTTGTGGGAATGGACCTGGTCCATCTTCTTTCCGGTAAATCTCTAGGCTTAAATACTGCAATAAAATACTAGTACTGCGAATATATGAAGTGGAAGCTTTGGTTGATAGCACGCCTCCGCGTTTGAATGGTGTTACGCGTTGCACCCCTCCCCCGAGCAATGTATAACACTACGCAAAGGTGCAGGTGTGCTACTGAGTGATAAAGCCCAGGTGTGTTTTATTGCAAAGCGCAAATCTTCGCGTGCGAGGTTTCTATTTTTGACCGCGTTGATAAACGCGGTTTTGATTACCTCAAGGTAGTAATTGCTAATCCTGTATCTTTTGTCCAATTTTGTTCTACTAGAGTTTACCACTAGTATAATTCGGGTCGGGGGGTTATAAGTTCCTGCGAGTACGTGATTATGTATGTGATATAGTGAGTACATAGCTTGCATGAAGTAACTATCTCGATATGATCTGCATGCATGATGTATGTAGGTCGTACTCGCTGCAAAGGTATACAAAATGTGCTGTGTCACCTCAATTATCCTTCTTCTCTCCCACCTCCCCTTCATCAGCCCCATCAGCTGAATCCCCATCTCTCTCCTCCTGACCATCACCCTCCTGAGCCTGCGGCAGCCCCCAGAAGCGAGTGATCATCCCTCCCAAAAACCGCTGATCGACCCATTTCACCAACCCATATAAAATCCACCCCCAGCCCCACAGCGAAATGCCCATCATACTGGCAACCAGCAGGACCGGTCCCAGGATCAACAGGGACAAAACTGCCCAGAGCAACAAAGACACGGCAGCGAAGATGAAAACACCCACCAGGAACACAAGTAGTGGGACTCCACAGCAGATGGCCTGACAAACAAGGAATGTAGAAGCGATCGGTCGGCTCAGCGCAGCTTCATACATCTGCGCCTGCTTCGGCGGCGGGAAGTATCTATCCACAAGCCATTTCACAATCCACTCAAAGCTATCAACTGACCGCGGGAAAAGACCGTAAAGCCACTGACTGAAGGATGTCCAGATAGCCGAAAACTGGATTTCGGGCTGTGGCTTTTTGTCGTCTTTGGGAGCATCGTCGGAAGGGAATTGACCTGGGAGAACTGGCTCCGTCAGGGGCTGTGTGGTTTTATTGACATGTTTTACAGGGTCCTTTGCGATCGATTGAACATTATCGGTCGCCGTTGACTGAACTTTCTTGACCGGGAGGCCCTGGCCGAGACCGCTGGTGACGGGATTGAGTGACATCAAGAATTTGAATGGTCGGAGGGATAATGGAAATTCTGTAAGAGCTCAAGGAAATAATTAAGATATTCCGACAGTAGTTCTTCAAAATATTTTTTCTTCAGCGAAACCCATCAAGGACATGGATCTATATCAATCTGATCGCGATGGGACCATGACGTAGGGGGCGCCGCGTAAACTTGATAAAATAGATTAATTCTGAGATTCAGCCGTATTGGTGCAACGAACCAGCATCAGTAATTAGAAGCAAATAGATATTCAGTGCGAAATGATGACTTCAGTGTCCATGGTAGCACAGGCTATCCCAGCTGTCAAAGTTAATCTATCAACCAAACTACGTTCAAGCGTCTACCTAGTTACTCGAACTACAATGCAATAGTTCAAGTGACTACTAAGAATTATCCCGTGATATTCAGCTATATAACCTTGGAAATAGAGTCGATCTTACTTCTCGATAATCCAGGGGTTTTCTTGATCAACAAAGAGCAACATGTCATGAGGTAACCACTTTCCTGCGCATGGGGCTTCCAAAAACATTAATGTGAGAAATTGAGCAATATCTCCGTAATCCACCCGACCACTGACGCTATGGGTTGTCACTCTCAAATCGAGAAAGGTCCACTTGAGAAGGGAAGAAAAAAGTTAGACAGACGCAGTAAAAGAAATGCTAAAATAGAATGGTACGTACAATACCATCACCATCAACGCGATAGAATAAGAACTCTTTATAATCCGTCAAGAGGCTACGTAGACCACATTTGGCCTCTCCGCGGCGCTTTCACTCAGAGTAAACCATCGCTATGGAAATGTCAGCAGGAGTATAAATTCCCTATCATCCACCTGGGTAGTACTCTCTCATGTTGCCGATAACCTATGCTTCGCGACACGGGCATAGTCTCAATTTTTGGCTACTTTCAAAGCCGCACTTGTTTGATTCAAAAACCACGAGTTGAAAAGCAGTTTCCTCCTGTCTGCCATACCAGAAATTGTGGTTTGGAACCCTTAAGAGAGCGGACTTCTTTCCTTGGTATTGGACAGCATTGTCTGCAGATAGAGCTCGTGATTTTATTTCGAGACGGTCGGAATAGCCCCGGCACTTGTTGAAATGCTTTACCCTGGTCACATAATGAAGAAGTCTTTGTAGATGGGTCGCTTCACTCTCTGCACTGCTTCCAAGATGAGCAAGCCGTATTCCTGCAATGAAGTTAGCTCTATGCAGCTGTATCATGGTACCTTGTAGAATAGGTACGACATGTGAAATCTTACTTAACCAGTAAGAGACAGTAGGATCATTCGCAAATGACACTTGCCACGACTGAGCGAAGGGTCTGAATTCAAAATCGAGGTTGGGAAACATTTTCTTCACTTGGCCAAATGGGGAATCCTGCGCGTTTAAATGGGCTTCGACAGCCTGGCAGACATCGCGGAACTCTGCTTGAAACTGCCGTCGGTTAATATTGTGGTGTCCATGGATATGGCCGCCACCAAGACGCGATCAAGTTGGTTTTGAACAAACTCGTCAGAGGTTGGATTTGGGGGGCTGGGTTGAACACGCATGTTGGCGATTAGTGAGGATGAAGGCGAGAGGTTGCGGTTGCGGTTCAGGGTGAGATGTAGTTTGAATCTATTTTCCCCAGAGTACTGAATTTCCCAGGGTAATTACCTACTAGGTAAGTAATAGCTTCGCCGCACCCCAAAATGGAAAGACACGGCGGAAGGTACAGTGGGCGATCCGTGGATGAGTTCGCGCACCGTCATCGACCTATCGCAGCCCGAGTTAGGTATATAAATTGCCTAAAATGGATTGTGGGACGACACGAAATCTATCTTAGACAATATCTCTACCATCAGCTTTGGTTTGTATCAAATAAAAAGTATTCATGCAGTTGCTATCATGTAAACGCCAATCAAAGTGCAAGTCTATCTATAAGGTCATTTCCATAAAAGGAATCTCATATCACATAACGCCAGTATCCCCACGGACATGCAAGAGAATGCTCCCAGTCAGAAGGCTTGTATCAAATGACTCCATTCCCAGGGGTATTCCCGACGGGTACAGTGGGCGCCTCCATGTGTGTCGGGTGAGGTGGTGCAAAGGGATCAAAGGCAGTTCGGATGGCACTAACACCCTCTTTCAGATAAAGCACGAGACGATATGCCGAATTTCCATTCAAGTAGTATCGGTGGAGTCGTTTGCTGCGTAGGAAGCCCAATCTCTCATATAATTTCATCGCGCCGGTATTTGTGATTTCGGTCTCGAGGACAATCTAAATGTAATTAGAAACAGTTAGCCAGGACAAGCCAAAACCAGTCTAGACCAGAGCAAGGCTGATGGACAAAGATGTATACAAACCTCATCGGCATCCCGCTCTATCATGGCATCAATCGCCATACGGACTAGCTTCGTTGCGATGCCCTGACCTCGAAACTCTTCGCGCACCGCTAGCATGGCAATATACCCTCTCAAAGCCCCGCCCCGGTGCGGCTCTAGCTTCGAAACCACGACACCGACCATCTCGTCCTTTTCATCCATGGCGAGAAAGCAGAGATCGCCCCATTGATACAGAAAATAGCGGTAAACGTAGATGCTGTAGGGTTCGGACAGATCCTTGGAGATCAGCTGGCGCATAGCGGCAACATATTCGTTCTCGCGCGCGCTATCATAGCGCACATATCGGAGCACAGGGGGGATTTTGGTTCATGATGTGTATAATGGCGAGGGCGAGGGCGAGGGCGAGATCAAGATTGAGAACGCGGAGGGCCAACGCAAAGTGGGGAGGGAAAGGAAGGAAAGGAACGGGCGGAGGACAACAATTGCCCGATTCACCGCATGTGACGCCGATCTGCCCGCCGGGCTGCACAGCTCCAGCTGCTCGTCACTTGATCCCCTTCTTTTTCTTTTTTCTTCCCACTTTCGGTCACTCTACCATCTCCTCTTGCCATTGGGTTTGGTCGTTTTCTCTCCCTGGCTCGTCGCTATGTTGCGCCGCCGCACTGGCAAGGATGACGCCCCTCCATCCAACGACAATACCAGCCGGACCATCCGAGATAAGGAGGAGGAAGAGAAGCTTCGAGCCGAGTTTGAGGGCGCCAAGGTCAAGCAGCTGGTAATCAAACCGCGCAGCAAGCGTCGGAATGGTTTTATATTCTTTCTGGGCGGTCTCTTTGGCGTTTTTATCGCCCTATTCTTCGCCAACCAGCAGGAGGTGATCAACCTGGACGGGTTGATGGATCTAAACATCGATACTCTGATCGATGTAATCCCCCAAGGCATCGTGCGAGATGCGAAGGAGTTTTCGGTATGCTTGGAGTCCATGCCCTGGGTTCTCACGACCATGATATTGTCTCAGCCAGCTGACTACGAGGGGAGATGCGACAGCAACACGAACGCGATGCCGTCAATTACGATTCCTTTGCCGTCGGACTACACCTTCAATCACAAGGCGTTGAAGCCAAACATCCTGTTGTTATGATCCCTGGTGTCATCTCTACCGGTCTCGAGAGCTGGGGAACTGGAGACACTTCCCGGCAGTACTTCCGGCGACGACTATGGGGCAGTTGGAGTATGATGCGGGCGCTGGTGATGGACAAGGCAGAGTGGAAGAACCATATCATGCTAGATCGCCAGACAGGTCTTGACCCACCGGGAGTCAAGCTGCGTGCGGCGCAAGGTTTCGACGCTACCGACTTCTTCATCACGGGCTACTGGATCTGGAATAAGATCTTGGAAAATCTGGCGACAATTGGATATGACCCGACCAACGCTTTTACCGCTGCATATGATTGGCGACTATCATATCTCAATCTCGAGATCCGCGATCAGTACTTCAGCCGCCTGAAGTCTTATATCGAGACAGCCGTTGAAGTTTCGGGCGAAAAGATCACCCTGACATCCCACAGTATGGGCTCGCAAGTGGTGCTTTATTTCTTCAAGTGGGTTGAGAGCGAAGATCATGGAAACGGCGGAAAGGACTGGGTCAACAAGCATATCGATTCATGGGTCAACATCAGTGGCTGCATGCTCGGTGCCGTCAAGGGATTGACAGCCGTGCTTTCCGGCGAAATGCGTGATACAGCTCAGCTCAATGCCTTCGCCGTGTACGGCCTCGAAAAGTTCCTCTCGAAAGAGGAGCGAGCAGAGATTTTCCGCGCAATGCCAGGTATCTCCAGCATGCTCCCTAAAGGCGGCGAAGCCGTCTGGGGTAATTCCACTTGGGCACCGGACGACCAGCCAGGTCAATCTATGAGCTTTGGAAACCTTCTAAATTTCCGGGAGACCAACTCGTCTTGGACGAGACGCAATCTCACTTCGTCAGAGAGTCTGCAGTACCTCTTCGACCAGAGTGAAGATTGGTATAAGAACCAGGTGCTGAGCAGCTATTCACACGGGGTGGCGCATACCACCCGTGAAGTCGAGGCGAACGAGAAGAATCCGCGTACATGGTTGAACCCACTCGAAGCTCGACTCCCGCTTGCGCCTGATATGAAGATCTACTGCTTCTACGGCGTTGGCAAACCCACCGAGCGCAGTTACTTTTACCAAGAGGAGCGTGATCCCCAAGTGAAGCTGAACGTAAGCATCGACACAACTGTCACACTTAACGATGATATCGATCATGGAGTTGTGATGGGCGAGGGTGATGGCACCGTCAACCTTCTCAGCACAGGATATATGTGTGCCAAGGGCTGGCGCATGAAACGATACAACCCAGCCGGGTCTAAGATCAAGGTCTACGAGATGCCGCACGAGCCAGACCGCTTCTCCCCCCGTGGCGGACCTAATACTGGTATGTCCCTGCAGTAGAGTACTTGGTACTTTATTTTTCTCCTGGTAATCATCTATCTAACGAACATAATAGGAGACCACGTCGACATCCTTGGCCGTGCCTCTTTGAACGACCTGGTTCTCCGCGTCGCCGGCGGCAAAGGTGACCAGATCGAAGAAACCTTTGTCTCTAACATCCGCGAGTATGCGGAACGTGTACAGATCTTTGACGATGAATAGATAGACCATGACACGAATTCAAGCGGCGCCTGGATGTTTCTGTTTTTCTGTTTTCTTTCATGTTTTTCTATCTTTTCTTTTGACTGTTTCACTATTACCCTTCCGAGATACACGCGCTATCTCGTTTAGTGTGACACGTATCCTGATTCCCTTAGAAGTTGGTAGGTTGGTTATTTTCAAGTATTCCTGGGAGGCAATTACATTATGTGGGATTATTATGTATCTTTTGTCTGACGTTGTATCAAAATCGAGTCGTGTCATTTATCTCAACGCACAATATTCCTCTGCAGCTGCTTCATCCCGAGACATACCTGAGTCAGTCGACTACATACCTAGGTAATGCTTGGCATACTAGGCATGTGAACGTGTCTCCAGTAATCAAGTATAAGCCCTCTTACTTCTGCAAATTCAATCACAAGGCCTTACACATCATAAACCTTAGAATATCGTCCATACTAACTAGCTAATCGCCCATACCTCGTATCACAAAGGCCGATTGGTTGGTCAGATACCTGCCTGCGCCTATACTGCCCTCCCCTCCACCTCAGGCTGGGCAGCAACATTATCACAATCCAGTCTTAAACAGGTTGTGCAGCACAAACACAGCCCCCGGCCTCGGGCTGGCACATGTGCCGGGGTCCGTGGGATCATCATACCGATGGTAAAATTTCAGCAGTTACAGCCAGACAAGACTGGCTGATCTGCGCGAGGTGCGGGGGTGATGCATATCTCTTCCGCGGAGGGACGGAGTAGCCCTGGAAGGAACTGGATTTGCAGAAGCAGAAGCAGAAGCAGAAGCAGAAGCAGAAGCAGAAGCAGAAGCAGAAGCAGAAGCCGCTTCCAAGCTTGCTTTTGGGCTCGAGAAGGTTGAGACGATCGACAATGATCTCCACCCCACTGCCAAGAGTCGTTCAGTCCGTTGCGTATGTACTCTCTGTTCTGCGTATTCCGCATACGGACGCATTTCTTGATTACAGAGGTCTACAGTTAAATACGAATACGGGAACAAAGTCGTGAGATAATGTACAATTCTTCGTAACTTCATCTAGGGATTAAGAATAATGCTAACGATAACCAACGCGAGTCGCCCGCAATCCATCCTCTCCTTGAAGAGATCAAGACATTATAGGGTTGTCAAACATTAGGTTGGGCGGTCGGTGCAGTATACCACAGTTGGAATCGCGCTTCATTCAAGCCAGAAGCGAAGCAAAAAGCGAAAAGCGAGATGCGAGAGGTAAGAGGGTTCCGTCAAGTTTCCCTCTTCTCTGCGCCATCCATCGCCGGTGCCGGCCATCCCAAACCGGCTTCCTTTGTTTCTCAGTTCCCCCTTCTCTTCCCCTTTTGCTCCTCGCATGGGCGAACCACTTCCACGCCATGGAGGAATCATCACACTGCCAACGCTGGATTCACCTGCCAACGAGCGGAGGCTTTTCTATGTGCCGATGCAAATGTCCTCAAAAAAGCCAATAAAAAATATCCAAAAAACTGTTTCTATGCACAGCGAGTGTAGTGCAAGCAATGGCGCCGAGCTCTTTTTGAGCTTCCCATGAGGATAAAAAACCGTATCCAAAGTTCCCAGTCGCCAGTTCGTAAGCGATCGACACGAATAATAAAGTAAAAGTTTGTTCATATGGACGAGCGCGAAGCGAAGATAAAAGGGTGGCTCGTCCAGTGCAAAAAAGTCGTAGCGAAAGACATAGGGTGAGAATCGAAGTTAAAAATGTTCGGATCGACCTCGCGAGGAGGAACGTCCGAGTCTGTACAAGCGAAGGTTTCCAACGGTGGCGGTGCGAAGAGAGTCGCATGCCCAGAGCAGGTGAATAGGGTTCACCACCGGAATTAATATTATAGACGGAAAGGCCACTCCAGTGGTGGAGTGACAAGGCATGTACAGCCAGAAGGCAAAAAAGTAACCTTCGGCTCAAAGCGGATTGAGAACCGCGCGAACCGGAGGTTTTCAACAGGTGATTAAAAACCTTAGGTGTCGAAAATGGCTCGATGCAGATAATGGTCCCAATAGTGTCGTCAAGTAGGAACGCCGAGTGAAAAGCAAAAAAGCGTAGATGCAAGATAGTAAGCAGAGTCGAAAAATGATATATGCAAGGTGGTTGTGGGTTTAACGACCGGCCTCGAGGTCGTGGTTCGAAGTCAGAGTCTCGCTCTCCCAAGCGTAGTGATCGTCTACGGGGCTCAGAGAGCCGGAGGAGACCGAAGATGAGGAACCGACGGTCCACTCGTCACTGTCCAGGTTCAAGTCACCGTCCAGACTAGCGAGGTCATAGCCAAACTCGCGAGAGTAGTCGCCGACCTCCACGTAGTCGTAATCCCAGCGGAACGTCTTGTCGGATTGAACACGGGGCAGGAATCGGGTCTTAGCGAAGTAGAACGCAACGGTGGCGAGCAGACCACCGCAGACTAGGTCGACAGCATAGTGGTGAGACAAGTACATGGTGGCCCACCACATCCAGAGGGTGTAGGTAACCCAGAGGAACTTCATGCGGGGGAAGACATGGCTCATGAAGAGAGCGGCCAGGGTAGAGTCCGCCGCGTGGAGCGAGGGGAAAGCACCAAAAACCACGGGAGACTGCTTGAAGCCTGAGGTATAGAGGTCAATGCCCAGCAACTTGTCAATGCGAGCAAGACCAGCAGGATTACCCTGCATAGAGTAATCTGCGGGGGCGAGACCGTAAAGATTCTCGTACCACGGTGGCGAGCAGGGGAAGCATAGCTGAATGGTCACAGCCAACATGCTGATATATCCGAGAGTCCGGGCGAAGAGGGGGGTGGTGCCCGGGGGTCCGAAGATAAAGAGGATTGTGGAGACAACGACGGGCGCACCGTAGTGGCATAGGCCGTAAGGGATCCACGCTAGAATGTCGAGCACCACGTTTTGGTGGGCGGACAGGATGTTGCTGATGTTGGCGCCGTAAAGGATATTTTCCATGGCGGGTAACACGCGAACCCAAATGGCTGGCCGCCAATCGCTGGGAACGAACCTATCGGAGAAAGAAGAGTCAGTCATGCGTGATTTTGCCAGCTGTGCGGCGAAATTCGCCCACTTCATGGATTTGCGTTCGGGGGATCATTCCGGGGGGCGCGTGTGAAAGGGAAAAAAAGGGGAGGCGAAGCCTCAGGCAAACAAGCAGATGGAGAACTCACTGGCACGCATAGAAGAAGATGAGCCATCCAGCAACAGGCAAGAAAGGGAGGAAGAACTGCCGGGTAAGGGGCAGAAGAAGAGAGAAGATGATTAGGGTCGCAATGCCTGTCTTCGCGAGCGGGCTAGGGGATTGCATCATGCTCAGGGAAAAGATGCCGAGAATTAGGAGTAGCAAGTATTGGAAGTCATATATCGTCCAACGATGGGCCTGGAGGGATCGAAGGGAGTCGACCGGGGAGAGCGAGGTCTGTAGGGTCGAGATCGATGAGGCTGGCGATAGACGACTCCGTAGCTTTGAGCGGATCTTCCGGCGCATACGATGGGGCACCAAAAGTTGAAAGGAGCGCCATGGCATCTGAATCTGAAGCTTTCCGAACTGATTCTGGGTGCGATCCTTCCATGACGGGAATGTAGACATCTTTGCGGCGAGGGTAGAGTCCACCAGGGGAGACTCTAGATCAACTCGTGATAAGAGAAGGGGGGAAGGGTCGAGGGATGCCGCGGGATGAGACGGAAGGAATTCGCAAAGGCGGGATGAGAATCACTGGTTGACCGGCATGGGCAGAGTAAGGGGAGAGAGACCGGTCTGAAAATGCAAGGCGCCGAGCCCAAAAGTGTGATGAGAGAGAATGAGAGGAGGGGGGGGGGGAGTAAGGACTTAAGATTAAGAAGGGGACGAAAGCGAGCGAGGGAGAAGAGAGAGAGGATTTACATGGTATTGTCAGGTAATTTTACGTGCCAGGTTTGGAAGTCCATGGCGTCACTAGTGTTGGGTTTCATATTGGCAGTATTGGCACCGAAAGTGGTATGGTATTGGTATTAGTCTTGCTATTGGTATTGGCAAGGGTATGTACACTAGAGAGATTTGAGATTGAAAATAGTCCTAGATATTTCTTTCTTGCGAGAATATCATCTACATGTTGAATAGGACTATGGGCGCATACTCTGTCGACAGGAACTGTAAAGTATGTATGCATAATAAAATACCCGGGCTGGCCGGGCGGATGCTGCGGAACGGAGTCACGCCGATCGGGCTGATGCAGAGAGATCACGGATATTGCACACCTATCCGAGGCCGAGCATAAATTATGTACATTTACATTGTCCAGTACTCTGCATGGACTCGATTATTTAGTAGTAGTAGCCATATCGATCAGTCCCTATAGTACTCTGTATACATCACTACTATGTACCTAGGTTGACCAAGTATGTCTACCAGTTATGTGCACTGAGAGCTCTAACAGTGAAAGTGTACAGGACATAGTCAAGGCAAGGATTCGTCCTGTAATGTACCGTACCCATGGTACTCCGTTGGGACGAAATTTCAATGCAAATTTTCAATATCAACCCATTGGGGGTGGTTGATTGGCCCACTTGCCCCTTCTACCGCCCCATCGTTCAGCGTTGCAGACCAACTGGAGTCCCCCATCTCCCGGCCCAATTTCGCTTAGCCCACCAACGGTCGTACAGCTTCGTATCCGCATAGTAATTACCACTTGCAGCTCTGCTGGGTGAATTGGTGACGAGTTTCTCATCAGGGGGGTCCGGAGTCAGGTACCAGTGGATACTTGAAGTAGGGACTCCGTAGTAGGGTATCTGTTTTGACGAATCCAATCAGAGTACTCCGTATACCAAGTAGAATAGTATAGCCCCTACTTCGTATACTTGTACTTCAGAGAGCACAGACTCAATTACTATTCAGTCGCGTGTCACTGCTCCGTTTTCACTATTGAATAAATGTACGCGACTCAGACTATCGATATCGATACGCAAATGGGATGACAGCTCAAAGCCGGGTGGAGCTAGCGCCCGGACAAAGCAAAGTCAAAAAACACTAAACTAAAAATTCGGTCAAATCAAACTCTGCACCATTCTGGCCTCGGCGCGTAGATGAGGATGTGCAGGGCCTGTCTCACTTCCAGCCACCGACTTTGCTCGCGATTCCCAAGTCCGATCCGTGTGCATTGTATCCGCTCTCCGGCCTCCGTACACTCCGAACCTCCGTTACTGCATCGTTCTTCTGCACAAATAGTACAATGTACATGTGCCTTACTCCGTACTCCGTGGATACATCAGATCCCGTAATGTAAATGGGGCCAGTTCCAAAATCCCCTGAGTAACGGTCACCATCTGGGTTGATCACGGCTAGTCTGCCGCCCCTTCAAGTTTCAGGTTGTCTAGCTCGCGACACCGGGGCCAATCACTGGGGGCCAAAGCTCCCGGGTACCTGACAAGGCTAGGAGCTGGAGACTGGACCGCTGGATCCCCCAGCCTCTTGCTAATTCTCCGATTCAAAACGCACTGGTTCATCATCTTGTAGCCGCACGGTGCCTCGTACGACACGTGTGTCACGTCGTTGGCGCGCGAGAGAGATGGGATCTTCGGTATCACACTGGGAGATGGGTCGGCATGGAGACGGATCTCCGGTGTTGGGATTGTCCACGAGAGGGCGGAGGTGGATGGAATTCGATATAGTTGTGCCGTTGGTGGCCGTTGCCAGCTCCTGCTCATTCTCGAGTCAGCTTATGGTTGACCAACCCACATGAATGATGATTTCTGCCGGGGACCCACTCGAGACTCTGCTTGCCAGGAACCACCAAACGACTGAGTAGAGTAGACAGACGAGCCCGAATATGACCAAGACGATGAATTTTTCGGTGAATGTCGTATCGGGGGCGAACTGTCGTTTTATGAGAAGTGAGTAGACAGTTTCGGGGATTGGAGCCATGGTGAAGCAGTTCAATAGGATGCGTGACAGAAGTCAAAGTGGTGTATTCGACGACTGTCATTCTTTCTCCATGAGATGAAGTGAAAAATGAAGTGATAAACTATGGGATAGGACTTCATTGTTTTCCGTGGCTTCCTCTTTGCCTCAACTCATATCTGTGGCAGGTGCATTACTGTAGGATTACTCTACTATAGAGGCATTCAATAGATTCAAATTCAAGTTAACGATTGTTAAGGGTCTGCAAGTAGTTAACAGTAGTAAGATCAATTTCAGCCATTTTTCATACTTCCAACGTTCGTTTCAGATACATGAATCGCACGCGAAAGTCAACCATCCACCAACCCCTGAGCGCTTATATATTACAAACCCTCAACACAAACTGCAAAAATTCAACCTGCCCAGGAAGCCAAGGTTATCGTAATACTCAAGTATCGCGTAATACTCATGTCGACACGACTAATGGTCAGATTCAGATGCAGTCGAATTTGTCGTATTCGATTTGCGCTGCGCTTCGTGGGACGGTTGCCTGCCAGGAGTGGGGGCTGGAATGAAAGGACGCAAGGCTTAGACTGTACGCTTTGATAATTACGGCCGTACCAGGACTCTCGACGGGGCCTCGTTGACCCTCGTCCACGTACTGGCCAAGTCGACGTGTCTGCCCAGGGCGCTGCGCCACATGTAATTGTGGGGGACTCGTGTACGCTGACCTCATTGTCGTCAGCAAGATTGGGGTTTGCCTAGAGAAGGAATATACTGCGGCGCCATGCCATGGAAGTCCACACTGTTTTCTGTCTCTCGAAAAGGTAGCGTCTGCGAATTTTAGCTTTTGCACGGTTTGATTCGTTCAAAAGGGGTGGTTTACTGGCTATTTTTAGGGGTCGCGCTGTCGTGCCGAATATGGAGATGTGTGGGGTCGGGTTCTCGCTGGGGGCTAAAAAACAAAGACGAAATTACCTACCTAGTCTAGGGAGTAGGCTCTCTGATAATGTAATGAACTAGGCATCTTGATATCATCGGACAAGCTATCCAAGTACCATCATTTAATCTAAGCACTGTGTCGCTGGTGGTTTTGATTATAGGACGGTAAGCTGAGCCCAGCCTTGCGAGTGATGCACCCATGTACGCGGCCACTATACTTTATTGAATGATCGGTATAAAGGCTGAACCTTATCCAAGTGCATCACAATCTGTAGTCGGTGAGACATGTAATTGGAGACCATAATTCTTCAGAAGACATGCTATTGCAGAGTAACTAAATGAGCCGTGACCCTCTAACGAAGCTTAAAGCATGAAATTAAAGCAACCATGTAACCAAATAGATGATTGAACAAAGATCCCGGAAATAAAAGAACCTTTCACATCCTGTGAATAAGGTTTATCTCAAATCCTCCAACAGATCCATATCCAGGGCCTTCTTATGCTCTTGATACGTTGTATTAAACCGACATCATACCTTGACAAGAGTGACCTTGAGCAGAATCGAATTAGGAGCCATATGATTAAATGTATCGTCCGGCGAATGACCCTTGGCAATCATTTCTGGGATTTGTTTCTCCATATGAAGATTCGTGGGATCATTCGACCACTCGACATTCTGACACATTGCCCCATACGTTTTTGCTTTCTCGTCGTTGTCGAAGAACCCCTTCAGTTCTTTGACTGTGGACTTTTAGCCAGGCTATACTTCAGCATGCAGAAATCAGTATTATGATGCACTGTTGCCGAATTTTTCTAGGTATGTCATCATCATCGTATGACCTAGGTCCACCATGGTTTGTGTGCGCAAGCTGTACATCCCTTCGAGATGCCGTTCATTTGTTGTGACTTTTTCAAAGACTCAATTATAGAGAGATCTCTCTCAACGTCCTTAATGTCAGACGCGAGGTTAACAGAAATACGGTCTGTGAGAGATTTCTGACCACAATCTATACCAGCACGGCAGTAATATTAGCAATGAGTTGACATACCTTTTCCTCCAAGTATTTCTTGGCTCCACCTCATTCATGTTTTTTTTATGGTAATCCTTGAGCTTTGTGCTGGATTATGCAATGGCTCCTAGTCCAAAAATTCAATACGGTGGTCGTTATAGCCACCATAAAGTACCTCTCTGTTCGAGGTCTGACACAAGAGATAAGCCACGGCATCCTTGGGGTGATGCTAGATGCGAATTCTTGAATTGCTTTATCAGATGATTTCTTTCACCCTTCATCTGGCTGGTAGACTGATGGAATATTTTTGAACTCGTCAAGAAATCTCTTCGTCCGTGTATAATAGGCCTCGGCCTAATTTGCTGCAAGAGCTTTCACCAGGTTCACCCACTTACCATAGTCTCCCAGTTACCAAGCACGATATTTAGGGATCGAACTCGGGCGCTTGAATTCATTCTCTGTATTTCGCTCTCTTGATACTGAAGTCGATTGGCCAGCTATAAGACCAAGCAAGATTAAAATGCCCCATCGTGGTGTCGAAGAAAAGCGTTCAAATGGCCCAAGTGAAAAGGTTCGGGATTGATGTAGATAGATATTTGATTGTAGTTCCCTTCCTCGAGGCAAATGGAGATGCAGATTTATTGCCATTTGCTCTACTAAGGAAGTCGCTTAGCCTTTGCGCCAGTGCTTATTAAAAACTTTATGTGTTGTCGCCATTTCTCAACCTTCTTCTTTACGTAGAATGGTCCAACATTTCTCGATATTTCCACACTTATAGGCTGCATGTACAAGTGGTGCTGATAATGGGAACGCAGGTTACACAGCTTTCTTTGAACAGACATACATCATGATTATGTAAGATTTCCAACGTTGTCCGTTCGAAATATAGTATACTATACTATTAACACCTAACATGGAAATAAGACGAAGGTTATCCAAGCTGAACGGGACGATCACGTACCAAAGCCAAAGAGGGAAATACAGTGGCTGCGGAGAATGAACCCCTCCGATAGATAACTGAAACTACTATCTCAAGAAACAAAGACCATGTCTGCCCAGGTGGGCCAGTAGACGGACCATCCTATATTGCTAAGTTGGTGGGCTGGGGGCAGAGGATCCACTTTGGTACTTGAATCGCCATTTCCATTGCTTCGATGTCACCACTGTCGGCACTGGCATCACCAGAAAGAGTGTTATATGAGTTATGTAGCCAGTAATTTGTCTCAATTCATTCGGGCCGCGAAAATTCTGTGCGGCCCCGGGGGTTTGAAGCCGTGTAGAGCTTTATGACGACATAGTCTATATTTTTAGAACTGGTTGGCTTCGAAGGTTGGGGCGGCCCCTAGATAGCTCGTTACAATGAGGGGTGCGACCGGTTCCCCTGCGAATTGTGCGAAAATTGTAGATTTTTCTTACGAAATAGCATAATTGAGCAGACTTCATGAAGGATGTTGTTGAATCGCTACATATTGGTTAATATTTTGCAAACTATCCCTCTTGCTCCAGAACTATAGTCGCTGTAAAAATAGTAGATATTTGATTTTGGTAGGCTGGGTAGACCTCAAAACGGATCTACTCACAGCCATCAAAATATTCAAGAGTCCAGTAATAAAATAAAGGTCAATAAAAACGCCAGTACACCAGCCCATGTATGTTTGCATACCATGCAGTGAACGCCAGAAATAGTCAAAAATAGAATCGAACAGTCCAGCCAACTCCATCACCCCTTTTGAATCACTTTCCTAATGATCGTGCTTGCTATGCGATCAGTGTGCCATCATTTGGAATGCCTTGACCAGGCCCATCGCCGAACCAGCCGCGATACCACCCACAAGCACCATCTGAATGCCACCGACAAAGCCCTTGCGGATATTTCGACGACCCCTCCATCCACTCACGAAGCAGGTCTTGCCATAACCGAAGAGAAAGAGAGCGACGACCATAGTTGCGATGGACCAGCGTAGAGCGACGAATGCGTCATTGGGCCCAACGAAGAAGTAGGGAACTAAAGGCACAAATCCGCCGATGAAGTAGCCAAGGGCAATCGTAATGGCGCAGATAACAGCACGAGAGCTTGAAGGCTCAGGAATGGTATGGTGGAAGTTCATCAGGAAGGAAGGGAGCATGGGCGAGTTGGAGAGGTGGTTGGTGAGCTGGGAGACGAGCTCGGAGGGCAGCTCATACGGCTCGAAGATATCTTGGATAGTTCCCGTAACGGACATGGGATCTGTCACAGTCTGTGCCTCTGTCTCTTTAAATGTTGCCTTGTATGATTCCCTAGAAGAAACGGGTCGGGTTAGCTGGGTTGTTTTGCAATTGTTGTGGCAGGACACGCGTACTCTTCGCTCTTAGCACCCAGATAACCTCCCAATCCCATTGAGATCGCGCCCGCAATCAGTTCAGCCATGCCGCCAAAGACGACAACTTTAGTATCACCCAGGGCTGACAGACCAGCTGTCAACGCAAAAGGTACGGTCATGCCATCGGACAAGCCGATGATGGCGTCGGAAACGGTGCGACCGTCAATAAAGCGGCTGGATATCTTGTCTGCATTTTGTCGAACTGGACCATCGGCAGCTTCGATGTCGGATTGCAGACGCTGGTGTAAATTCTTTTCATCCTCTGAAGAGCTCCGGTCGGAGAGAACTGAGTAGTTTGACATGAAGCCGGTTAAAGAGGTAATAGACATGCTCCGAAGCAGCAAATTCGAGAATAGGTCGGAGAATGGATCGCCAATGGATCTGGGAATGTAAACACGCGAATAGTTCACAAGGGGGAAAGAGAGAGTAAAACAACACCAGTTCGCGTGGTCCAAGCGAGGATTAAGAAAGATCTTATTATCCGTACCTCGCTTGGGTGCGTTGCAATGAACTGCGGAGAAACAGCCTTGTGAGGGCCCATCACAGCCTATTGAGGTAGAACGTGCTTGGCATTCCTGATCCCACCGAATGCAACACCAGGCACGTGCAATTCTGATTCGAGTTGGGTCGACTCGATGGTGGAGCTTGGTTGGTAGGAGTGGAGTACCTCGAGGTAGTTGATGGTGCTTAATTCTGAAGGCTCCCGCCAATAAAAAAGCTTTGATTGTCATCCTCTGCGGGGGCTTGTATACAAATTCGTTGTGATTGGTTAGACACTCCCGTCAGTGGACCCACACTATCCCTTTTTAGGTCAGAATTGTGGAAATGGGAAGCCATAGCCTCCGGGGGGCCACCCCCAAGCAGGTACACGCGTGATTGACATGCCCATCTTGATTGATCCAGGTACACCGGGCCTATCTCACATGGGATACTTGAATCAAATCATTATCGAAGAAAACTACTCCCGTACTCCGTACACTACTACGGCACTGTGGAAGGTAAAGGTCCATGCTGGGACCGCTGACATTCCTCATCTGCCGCTTTCTGCACGCGATCGAGATCACACGATCCAACTCCCCTCCCCTGCGTGCCACAGGGTGGTGACTCGAGAACGCGTTGGAGTCTCCTCCCTACTCCTCTCTTCTTCTCCTCTTCTTATCATCAAATCTCCCCCACATCTCCACCTCCTTGCAGGGATTTGACTGTCCCCAAAAACACTGACATGGTGGATCTCACGGGGCCTTCCATCAATGATAATGCTCAAAAGAAAATGCTGTTCCGAAGCTGCCGGGATAGCGTCGGAGTTCTCCCTTGTGTGTATCTAGCTTCACCCTAAGAGTGGAGAGCAAGGAGCGGACAAGTTGTTATCTCCAATCCGGGGCTGGCCGATGACCATGAGGTCTGTCATCGGACCCAGCAAGAAAATGAGAAAGCTCATTTCCCGCCGAAGTAGGCGCGCTTGGGGATGCCGTTCAGGTAGATTCCCCCCCTAAGAAGGTCGTTTCGTCCTAATATACTAGTAGAACTCCCCACTCTATAAAATGCTGCATACTCCCCCTTGATCGCGTATCACAATTAGCTCGACTTCTTTGAGCTACCCTTTCACTTAATTGCGATCCGTCGAGGTGACTCCGGGAAGAAAATCATCATGGTGAAAAAATTCTCGGCATATGCCGCCCTGGCCGGCTTGATCGCCGCAGTATCAGCTCGTCCGAGCGCCCGAAGCACCGAAACTTGGAGTCAACTCCGTGAGAATGTAAGTGACATGCATGGTACATATGTGTCTATGCGCAAGTATATGGGTTAACAAGAACCTCAACACATAGATCAAGCATGTGATCTATCTCACGCTGGAGAATCACTCGTTTGACAATATCGCCGGCTACTGGGACTTCCATCCGGACATCGACAACCTACGCGGCGTCACATACTGCAACGAGTACACCAACCCCAATTGGACAGTGTGGGGAGAGCCGCTCGAGATCTGTGCGGCGCCCTACGAGACCGAGGTTCCACTAAAAGATCCGGACCACAATTTTGCCGGCGTCACCTATGAGATCTTTCGTAAGTGGAACGTGACCAAGGACGATGTTCCCAATATGGCTGGCTTCGTGGAGCGCCAGTCGGAAAAGTACTCGTCAACTCCGGGAGATACCTCCTTTGTCATCCAGGCCTACAACCAGAAGAAGACGTCTCTACTAGCGGAGCTTGGACAGAACTTTGCCTTCTTCGATTCTTATGTCAGTTTGAAGCATCGTTCTGCTAGCGTGCACACAATTGACAATTTCATAGTTCGCTGAGCACCCCGGTCCGACCAATGTTAATCGGCAATTCGCAACCTCTGGCTCGTCATGCGGCTTTGTCGACAATACAGAACAGTCCGCCGGTTTCTGGAACAATGTCACCGGAACCACATGCGCGACTTCGATCTTTGAATCGCTAAGCAAGAAAGGCATCAGCTGGAAAAATGTGAGACGTCATGAACGATCAAATCGGATGTTTCACAACTAAACCTTCTCACAGTACTACGAGACGGACATCGTGGATGCATACATGTATAAGGTAAGCTCCTATTCGACAAAATAACAAGGTTCATAAAGCACCTGTTCTGACAATCTTCATCAGTGGACCCAAGACAACGCCATGGACAAGCTAGTGCACGCCGACGAATTCTACCGTGATCTCGAAGAGGGCACACTGCCTACATTTTCCTATATCAATCCAGAGTGTTGCTCGATAGATTCGATGCACCCGACTAGCCCCATGGCAACCGGGGAGCAAATGCTCAAGCACTTGTACGACGCACTCCGCCGGTCCAAGTATTGGGATAACGCGTCAGTCCTTTACCCCCATATATCCATATACTCCAGCTCTAATACGTGATACAGACTGCTTATTATCAACTTTGACGAGCACGGTGGCTTTGCAGACCACGTCCCTCCCCCAATGAACATTCCTCATCCTGAAGATGGCATCACTTTTGCCGGCACGTCTGACGGTCATTATGTCACCTACGACTTTACCCGTCTGGGTGTTCGGTACGTAGCTACCATTTCATATTCAATCAACCATACTGACATGTTTCCCAGTGTTCCCGCTTTCCTAATCTCTCCCTGGGTCCCAGCCAACCATCTTATCCACGATGAGGGAACCGAGTACGCCTCAGACTCCGCCTACACGCACAGCTCGATCCTACATTTCCTGCAGGAGCTCTGGAACCTCGAGGGTCTGAATAATCGCGTACAATGGGCCAAGACCTTTGAATCGGCCTTCACGACCAAGGGACGTACTAATACGCCTAAGACTCTGAGCACGCCTACCTGGTATGGTGGGAGTGGTCAACCCGAGCCGTCAGTCTTTGGCCTTTTGAACCAGGATGAGAGCTATTATGCTTCCAATTAAAATACTACATTGTACATGATTAGACACCAAAGACTCATGACATTGAATAGATGCCACCTCCACTCTAGCATATGTCCAATCAATGATTCCGTTGATATTGTAATTTTCGTCCACCAGGGTTAATAATTCCCCTATTCGGAAGCCAGTTCACTGGGGCAGAGTGTCTATCTGAATATTTCAGGATGCTAATATGATGACCAACGCTGCTTATTCCGGCTCCATGTGCTATTTAATTTCAAAATGCCCTTAGCGGTGACTTCACTTGATGCCAATGTCATGTCTAGGTGACCTGTCATGCCTAGTACCCTGGTTTCTTGTTGCTTTAAGAGAGAGTGAAAATAACGGTTGTTTCTTAGCTTTCTCAAGATTCACTCTCGTGGGTCTGATTCCTATAATACCTGCCAATGGTCGATAGACTGCCAACTTGAACCCTGCCCTATAGGTTTATTTTCCACCATCCACCATCCACCAACCCCAGACTATGTACAAGGTTCTGCATACTATCAGGCTCCCTGTGAATCGAGAGGTTGCTGGCGTCTGCAATAAAAATGTAATCCTTTCAATGCAGAGCATATTTCAACGTCATCAGAATGACTTGGGAGGCTATAGGAATCATAATCAAGCCGCATTTGCCTTGTTCTCGGAGATTCAGCATCTGAAAATGGTTTACTGTGTGAAGGGTTAGACAGATTTGACAACGCAAAAAGGTGAGCTTACTGCTTGTCATTAAAAACCGCAAAGCCGGTGGAAATAATGAGCAGAGGCCGAGCAAGATCGGCGATAATCTGCTTGACCGGGGCGGCAGTAAATGGTGCTATTATGATCGAGTCGTCGTCGATTTCCGCGAATCCACCTGCACCATGAGTTCCAATGATTTTGAATCCCTTCTTTGTCAGGATATCTTCTGCCACCTCTGTATAATCTGGGTCCTGTGCAAGTAATGGCAATATTTTATCGCAACGACAAATTTGAGTGATAGTAAGAGCCATGGAATGCTGGATCATACAGCCCGTCAAATTTTCCACCTCTGAGTTCTCATCCCAAGAGTCGTGCTGCCTTTTTAGCCATTCAGGTGCGGAGCGGCAAAAGTCACCGAGCCCGAAACACAGAACTTTTTTTACAGCCTGAGTGTTTGTACCTAGTGTATCTTGAGCCAAAGCTTCCAACTGCTTACAGGTCTTGCTATTCTGCCACAACGATTGCTTCTGTTCAAAGACTTGCATAGGCTGTGCTATAAGCTCTCGAAAGTTTCGTGCGGTCTGATTGCTCCAATCCACAATATAAGAGCATAGGTAAGTTTCGACTGGGCCGGTAGGTTGTGCTCTCACAAGTTGCCAATATTCTTGATACTTGACATAGGGTCTCCTAAGAAAGGAAAACTTAGACCACAGGCTAAAATCAGGTCAGAATAGTAGGCCCGCGTACCAGATAGGATTCCGTACTTGGAACATGGGATTGGAAATTTGGATTATGCTTCCATCGATTCGACGGACTGAAAATCGCTCTATGGCATAGGATTCGCGCAATTGCTGTTCTATATCTTCGAAATCCTCTTTCGTCCAAAGCTTGGTCCCAGAACTGTATAGATCTGCGGCTCTTTGGCTACTCATCCGCCAATCCGTGCACCCGTACGCAAGCGGTTCTAGAGTTTGTGGCATGATCTCGTAGTTGCTGGTCGGGTAAGGGCGAGGAACATACCATGTGTTGAATTGCCGGGAAGAGAAAGCATCGAGGGAAGAGAAAGCATCGAGGCAAGAGCAGAAATAAAATTCTGATCGCCGCTCTATACCCTAGTGTCAATTGGGACGAGGTCCTGGACCCAACTCTCTCTTGATTCGTCGATGGTGCGTGGCTCGCGGATTTCGTGCGACGCTCTGCAGCACGACCTTACCTGTCATATTTCTGAGTATTCGGCCCCATAATCGAATTACTAATGTAGCCATTCAAGTATACCAGTACTAGAACTTTTTGAATTGACCTCTGTACCTACTACAGGGTATCGAGTAAAAGTATGGATAATAAATCAACGTATAAAATCGCTTTCGAAGGTCACGGTTTTACTCTGGTCGACATTTCAAACAGAACGCGCCGTGGATTTTACTGCTTACTACCTCCTTCCCCAGCATTGACATTGTTGATGCCCGTAGTACTGCGATAGGTTGAATATCGTTGAGGTCAGCTCCATATTAATCCATTGACTCTTCGTCGACGGTCAATTACTTCCAGCCACTGGTCGGGTCGGTCCAGCCCGGCAGCCAGGCAGCAGATAGATTACTATGCATGATAATCCTACTGTAAAAGGCGTGAATCATTGATGAATCAGAAGAATAAAGCCTAATGCATTCTCAAAAAATTGCAAGATTCGAAATGTATATGCAAAGAAGTGAAAGACAAAACCAAACAAAGCGTTGCAAACACCATCGCGACTAGACCTAGCTGCGATGATGCCGGGTATGAAGTAAGACATTATCGTACACCATGACGCATTTCCAGCAAGCATAACATGGGATGAAATGGAAAGATCGATGAGAAGATCACGAAAATTGCGCATGCAAATATATGCGAAAGGCAGTGAGAATGGATAAAAAAAGACGACCACGTGCAAAGTTACGATTCGGGTAGACAATGGCCGGTAGACTTGTGAGAACACAGGCTAGAATTTCAGGGTCTCGTCGAGAGAGATGGATGGGTTACTTGGAGTGCCTGTCGTCGCGAGTTAGTGAAATTGAACTCCAGTGGATACGGATCATCGCAAAGAAAAGAAAAGGAAAAAGTAAACATACGGCTTGCGCTTCTCAGCCCCGCTCTTCTCATCCTTGCCCTGCATATCCCAAAGACGGCTTTTATACGCGGGGAAGGAAGTGTGGTTCCACATGTTGACGAGGACACTGTATTTGTTAGATCGAGATCGGAGTAAACAAAGAAGCAGAGGGGATAGGAAGACAAACCTCTGTGTGCGATCCTTATAGGCCTCATCCTTGACCTCCTTCACATTCACCTTCATGCCATCTTTGGTGAAGACGACATTTTTCTTCTCCATTTTCTCGCGCGTGGTTTTGCTCACGCCCTGGACGATGCTGTACACAACGAAGCCGACGGCGGCGAGGACGCCGACGAAAAGGAGGAGGAGGATGAGGGGGAGGACGTTGGACTTTGCCATGTTGTGTGGTGGTTACCGGCGGCGCGGTATAGATCTGAGAGGGATAGACGAAACGGTTGAAGTGGCTCAGGCAGAGGGGTGTGGCTTTGAGAGATTTGAAGGTCGGAAGGAGTGGAGTCGAGGAGTTTGTTGTGGGTGCCAAGCTGGCCTCTCGGAGGGTCTAGGCTAGTTGCAGGCTTGGTATTCTGGGCATAAGTTGCTGCCTGGGGGATGTTGAAAGAAGAAAAGAAGAAAAGGAAAAAAGGAAAAAGGAAAAAGGAAAGAATGAGCGGCCAGGCCTCCATGAAACAGATTTATCGTCAGGGGCTCCTCATTTTAACGGCCGCGAACCAAAATAGGAGGGGCTAACGCGGTGATTGGTGGGGTTCTGTGGCTGTGTGTGGCTTTGGCCTACTCGAGGTACTGCGATGATGATAATCATGATATGATCATGCTATTCTTGGGTCCATGTACGAAGTACATACCGCTTCCATACTAGTATCCTACTACTATCCAAATTTACTTCTCTAGTACATAACCCAACACTGTATGCATCTACTACGGAATACCTAGGTAGTACCATGTAAAATATGTACTTTCTACCGCCCCGCAGCTGATCGGTGGATCACGATCTCTACTGCGTCATTATGAGAGAACTTATCCAAGTTACCTGTGATCCGGGGAAAGGGCAGCCATTGCTAGAACTTTTGTTTCTAGGTAATTCCTCTCTTTGCAACTACTATATTTAATTCTACACGGCCACAAGATGTGCGACCTCCCATTCTTCCCCATCTTCCCCATCTGCTTCCAATGCGGCACCGACCAGAATCCCTGCCACTGTAAAGTCGTCGGGCCAACACTAGGTATGTCCCAGCCATACCCAATCATCTGGGCAGGGATTTAATCTCAGCGGCATAAAGAAAAATCAGGATCATTGCTGATACTTAACTAGGATTCTGCGCTACTATTGTCGCTGCAGTGTGTCACCCCCTCTTATCTCTTGTACTATAGCCGATTTATCCGAATGATGGCTTGGGCGCAAGGCTGAGTTGACATAAGACCTGATTCGCTGACTCGGGAATACTTACAGGTGATCTGCTGGCCCGCCTCGATTTTTTGTGGCTGTGGCTGTACACAGACCGGGCGGGAGTATGTGAATTCTCTTCTCTCTTTTCTTTGCGTACTTGTAGGTAACAATGTGGCTAATGGATTTAGTGTGTTGGGCTACCCGGTGAAACTGAATGGCAAAGTCAGCAATGCGATACCATTTTGACCATGGCTACCACAAGGAGTGGATCACTACTAGTAGTAGTACCTTCACTACTTGAGATACTAGTAAGATTGGAATCATATTTCGGTGGGCCGGAGTTACAGAGTATGAAGATTGCCAGTGGCCAATCAACTTATATGGAAATAATAATAATAAATAGTGTTCGTACTACTACTACTACTACTACCTTACCATACAAGCAAATCAGAAATGATCAAAGCATAAGTCAGTTTAAGATATATTCCTAGACCAAGGATGTCCATCGCGAATTGGTATTAGAGGACAGCAAAAAACAAGGCTTGCCGGAATACAATGCGGTGCGGGCGAATGAGGTATCCAGATCAAAAAAAGAAAAACAATTAAACCAAGCCAGAACGAAACCATGAAACACGAAACAAGTAGTGCAGTGCGTACAGTTATTGAGAGAGCAGCCTCTCCATTTCTTGATGCCACCGTCTAGTGTTTGAGTGAGGCAATCCATCATAAGTTCAGAACAGAACAAGTATGCATCTACTTGAGCTTTTCCTTGAGCTTGCTGAAGAACCCGCTCAGTCGCTTCTTCTTCTTTTCATCCTTGGAACTTCCCGTAGTGCTGCTCCTAGCTGCATCAGTGTTGGAAGACTCGGCGGGCTTAGCAGTGGTCGCTGGTACGGTTTGGTCTTCAGTGGCTGGGGCGGAGGTGGGGGCGGGAGCGGCTGATGCTCGTCCGGGGGGAGGAGTCGAGGTCGGTGACACATCGGCTGAGTCCACCGGGGGGACAACAAGGCCTTGGCCTTGGCCAGGTGCGGTAGACGTTGTGGCTGCAGTCGCAGTTGGTGCTGGGGCTCCTGCGGATTCCTCCACAGGTACCTTGGTGTGGAGTTCATTCTCCACATCTCTCTTCTCCGCAACAGCTTCTTTGTTGGCAGTAGCCTCGGGGTCTTGGTGAGCTTCAGCAATCGATTCCTTCACGACCTCTGGAACCTCCTCCACCGGCTCAGTGCCATTTGTCTGCTTGTTCTTCTCAAGAGGAACCTCGGCGGCAAGAGCGGCGGTGGTCGAGGTGGGGGCCGCTGACTGGATGGTAACGCCGGGGTCGGCCATAGCAGCCTGTTGAGCAGGACCACCGGCGTGGTAAAGCTCTTGCTCGGTAGAAGCGGCTCGCTGAGCAGGGCCACCGATGGGCAGGCTGGACTCGGGAATGAGATTCTTTGTCACTGGGGGCACAGTAAAGGCACTGGATCCGGCGGTGTCGCTCTGGGTTCCGGCGCTACCCAGGGGCACGCTGTCACCCTTTTCATAAGATTCCTTGTCTAGTCGCACAGTCGAGTCCACAGTATTTCCATGGAGTGTGTTAGGGTCAGGAACCTTCTCGCCAGGGTTCAGCTTGATAGGATTTCCGTAGCCACCCGATGCTGGGATGGGGTTCACGGATAGCGTTTGTTCGGACTCTTGTCCCGGCGTCTCGGGGAATGTACCGGGCAGGTTTCCGTTGGCCTCCTTGGGGACAGCCGCAGCCAGGGCCGCGGTTGTCGAATCGGGGGTCACACCAGACATGGTTGCGTTGGTAGCAGGTTGAGTTGGGGCGCTGTCCTTAATCTCCTCAGGTAGGAGGACGTTGTTGATATTATCGTCTCCGTCGTTCTCCTCTCGAACACGCTTGTCAGTTGTCCAGATACCGTCGACAACGAACTTGAAAGATTTGAATGTCAGCCTAAAATTCCCCTCATTGCGGTGGAACAGTGATTGGTTTTATAGTTTAGGAAAGCGGGACAGGCCAAGTGACGTCAGCGGGCGTGGTGAAGCGTCATTCGCTTTTTGCGCCATTGAGAGAAACTGGGGTTGGATGCCAGCCTCAGGCAGCAGCCACTCACCGCAACGTGCACGCCACACAGGGGAAAAAATTGGAGGAAAAGAGAGCACGGGCATACCTTGTACTGAATCTTCTCACGCACCGGGAGCGACACTTCCTTGATAAAGATGCCGCCAACCCGGTTCAGTTTCACCGTCTTACCCCAATCATCGAAAGTGCCCGTGACGAACACCTCGTTCGCATCGTATGGCCTACACATCAATGCGAGGAACCGTCCAGTCAGCGATCCAATTCATATTATTGTCTGTGCCACGGGATGAGTCGAGCTCTTCCCGTGCGTCAGATATTGGCCTCCGCTCAGCTGCGCAGAGAAGTAGAGCGCCGAGCCCCGGCCGGAGGGCCGCGGGGGAGAGGGGGGGAAATTGAACTCACCATTGGAATGTAAAAGTCCCCATTTTTGCTAGTGCGCACAGCCCCGCCACTGAAACCGAGGAAATTGGAGGGTTGGTGAAAGGTCAGGAAGGGGGAGAGAGGAAGAGGTTGGGAGAGAAGCGCGCTTGCGAGCTTCTTGGGATGAAATCGGGTGGGGGTGTGACACAGACCTGTTCTGCCCTGATCTGAGCAACCCTAACTTCAGTTGCCCCTATCTCGATCCTTTACCTTGTTCCGTTGATCTAGACCTAAGCTAAAGCTACGATAGGGGGCCTCGCAGGGTCGTAAAACCACCCTAGTTGATAGCTGTCTCTACACCGCCGACCTCAAGCGGCGAAGGAAGGAACAGCGAGCTCCCGTGGGTCCATGACACCTTGGACCAGCATGGACCATTTCTAGGTCAAAGCACAACGTTATGTTCATGCGAATGCTAGATATAAATATGGATACCAATGTCAATATCAATATGAAGATGATCTTGTAAGACTGCAAATTTATAAATCTGATCTCTTTACTGGTATTAATAATGGTTCCCGCTATGGTTCAAGTTCAGAGAGGAGGAAGGTGCGAAGGTGCAGACGATCGCCCTTTCCGGCCAGGGAAAACCTAAAAGAGGAATCATATTCCAGTAAACCCCCAATTGAGAAAAGAAGAAGAAGAAAAAGAAGGAAGAATCACCTTCTGACAAAGATAAAATCACCTATCCACAGAGGAATTAAAGAAAAAAGAAGAAGAGAGAAAAGAAAAAAAAAAAAAAAAAGAGAAAAATCCATGTGTTCAGCCTCGGGGTATCCGTAAAGCTGAGAATCAGACTGAAAACGGATAGATGACTTCAGTACTTTTCCATATTTCGCCACTTTGACCTCAAGTAAGACGGTGGCGAAGTGTCAAAGGGATGCCGCGGGTTCTAGAAGACGCCTGGAAGGACGGGCTGGGGACGAAGCTTCTTTTTAAGTCGTGTGCACACACACCAACTGGACTTTTTTCCAACCTTCGATGGGCTATCCACCCTAAGTTATGTATAGAAATTGAGGTAACTACCAATTTAAACCAGAGAATAGCTAAACTACTCTACACAAAACCTTCCATCGTCCAATCTTTTCCCTTCACCTCTCCCCCACCTGCAAAAACTCAACGAGGAACAAGTGACGTCGATCACCATGATCGACGGAAGAAGCTCAGACCAGGCCCCGACTTTACTCCTCTCTTACCCCTCCTTGCCTTTTTTTCCCGGGAGAACCTCTGCTGCTCCCCAGAGGTCCGATTTTTGAGGCCAATTATCAACCCCCCTCTTTCTTTAGCTTGTGAGTCCTTGTTCTTCACCTTCCCGTCTTTGCCTGCCTATAGGCCCTCTTCAAAGCCTACTCTCCCGTCTCCACTCCCGAGCCCCTCCGCTCTTCTTCCCTCAATGTTACTCACCCGTTAATTCCTCCTTCCTCATTCTAACCATCCATCTGGAAGATTTCACCCCTCTTTCTCGCCCACACATCTCACCCCTCTTCAAATTCTCTCACCTATCTTCTTCATCAACTCTCTTCCCTCATTCTCCATCTACCCGCCCAGTTCGGCCGGAGTGGCGGCCTCTCCGGCCCCTAGAATCGTCAGAGTCATGGCCCAAAGCTCAAAAGCCTTTCCGGGCACTAGCCCTTTCATCAACACCTCCACCAGGTCCGATAAGGGCCCCGGCATTCAGAAGATCGCAGAAGACGAAGAATTCGAGGTGACGTCACCAACAGACGTGACATTCAAGCAATCCAGCGCCGCTGGCTCGGGGAGCCTGGCCTTCGGGGGAAGTGCATTTGGCGAGGCGGGTTCACAAAGTGCAGAAGGTGCCGTACCGGGATCGTTGTTCTCGCGGAGTCCCTTTGGCGACTCCGGGTCGGATTCGGGGTTGGGAGGAGACGAGCCGGGACCTCTGCCGACGGGATCCGCCCAGGGATTCCCGAGCAACTATGCGCTTGGTCGTCGAACCTCTGTCTCTGCGGAATCTTTGAATCCCACATCAGCTGGCTCGGATAGTTGGACGCCCCCGCACCACCCCAAAAGCGAGGACCAGCTGGCCCGTCTCAAGACGGCGGTGAGCACCAACTTCCTCTTCTCCCACCTAGACGACGACCAATTCAAGACCGTCCTCGACGCCCTGGTCGAGAAGCCCATCCCTGCCAAGGACATCAAGGTCATCTCGCAAGGTGATGCCGGTGATTATTTCTATATCGTCGAGAAGGGCCACTTCGACATTTACATCCACTCCTCCGGCTCAGTGCAACCCGGTCCCGATGGCCTAGGTAACAAGGTGGCTACCAATGGGCCCGGCGGTTCATTCGGTGAACTGGCACTGATGTACAATGCTCCACGTGCCGCGACCGTCATTTCCACCGACGCTAAGAGCACTCTTTGGGCCTTGGACCGAATCACCTTCCGCCGCATTCTCATGGACTCTGCGTTCCAGCGCCGCCGCATGTACGAGGCTTTCCTCGAAGAGGTCCCCCTCCTCTCTTCTCTGAAGACTTACGAGCGGTCCAAGATCGCCGATGCCTTGGATACCATCAAATATCCGGCCGACTCGACAATCATTACTCAAGGCGACCCCGGTGACGCATTCTATCTGCTGGAGTCGGGTGAGGCGGAGGCTTTCAAGGATGGAACTTTGGTTAAGAATTATAGCCGCGGGGATTACTTTGGTGAACTGGCGTTGCTAGATGATAAGCCGCGTGCAGCGAGCATTGTCAGCAAGACCGATGTGAAGGTAGCACGTCTGGGCCGAGATGGGTTTAAGAGGCTGCTCGGACCCGTGGAGGAGATTATGCGACGCACCGACTACAAGGCGGAAACCGCCAAGTCTCCTATTTCTTCGTAGAAATAGGATATGATACGATGGAAATTCGAATGACGAGGCCTGTGCAGCAAGCAGAAGCTAGGACGCGACGCTAAATCGTTCACATTATCACCTGTGAGACTTGACCGGCGATTTCAAGTCATGTTCTCTTCTGCTAGTTTAAATCTTTTGTTTGGTTTTTTTTTTCTCTCCCTCTCTCTTTTATTTTCCCGCTTTGTCCCCATCTCTCTATCTATTCCCAACCCATTCGCCACTCTTTACGACTTCCTGTACTTACAATCTTGTCTCTTTTACGCCATGTGGTCCCTCTGGCCAGGACCTACTATTGTCCTTGTCATATTATCTTGCTGGTTGCTTATGATTATCTCATGCTTCTTGGACCGAGCAAATTGACTAGAATTTCATGTTTAAATGATGCGGTGTATGCCATTTTTTTTTATTTTGTAGTGACTCGGAGATATTATGGCGTAGGTACCTAGGTAGCCCATCAACCCATAAGTTCTCTATTAAGTGTGTGTATGCAGCCGTGCTATCGAGTTGAATATATGTGTAATATATAATCATCACCGCGCAACTACCAGATCACTTCTCAACACCCACTTCTCCCCGCCAGTGACCTCCATTCCCTCGTGCAGCATACAATGATCCCCGTGGCGATGTAACAACGCTAGCCCCGTCTCGGGCGCCACGGATATTGGCTCTGGATTAGGATCTGCACGCGTAGGCTCGGGGTAGAAAACGGTCTCACCACCGGAGCAGGTGGTCAAGTAGATGAGTAGGGTCCAGGTTGTCCGCGCCGGCACGGATTTGGATGACGAGGGTGGGAGAAAGGTCAAGGCATTGGATTCATCATCTATCTCTAGGTGTTAGCCTGGGGTAAATCTAACGGCAACGAAGGAAGGGGGGGGGGGGGTGATATATCCGTACAATGCTGTGCAAAGAATTGGCCCGGGGAATATCGATAGATGCGAATATTCGGGTTCAGGCCCAATGGCTCTCCGCCCCAGGTCTGCTTGCATTTCTGCGCCAGATCTGCGGGTAGACTTTCTTCTTCATTATCATCATTATTATCGTAATCGTATTCATCTTCGTTAAAGCGGGTGGTAACTAGCTCCTTCAACGCCGTTCCGGTCCACATCATCTCCGCAAACCGCGCATCTTCTATCTGGAATCGGTCATTCACGCGCACCGCCTCATCTTTCTTGGGTTTGCCGGGTGTGGTTGTCAAGGGTAATGAGGCTAGGAATGAGGCGTAGGACTTGCACAGGGTGCCGGGGAAGAAGTTGCGAATCAGATAGATCTGGTCGGTGAGGAGAGGAGTGAGGGTCAGGTCGGCAGTAGGGAGGAGTGGGCGTAACGGCGGCCAATTTGGAGCAGCCACGGGGGGGCTTGCGAGTTGGCGGGGGTGCTTTGGGGTCTGGCTTTTTGGCTTTCGGCATGGTGTTGAGGTGAAATGTGTCAGTGTGTCTGCCAGTGAATCGTTAAATTGGAGATTGGAGCGAGGGGTTGTGCGCCGATAAGATGTTGACCGGTCCAATCTCTCGGCTCTGCACTCCGCTTCCCCCACAGTATGACCTGCATGAGGCGAAAGGAGTAGCAGTGAATTGGATTTGGTAGAGGGTAGGAAAGAGGAAATTATTCGGGAGGTCATAAGATGGAGAGTCAAATTGAATTGCTTACTACAGTGGGTTGGTTAGCTAAGGCCCGTCTTAAATCCAGTGTACAATTGGCATACCTAGGTATGCCATTGTATATTTGGCAAAATATTATACTACTACTATTACTAGTACTGCTACTAGAGTCCACCTGGGCATGGATTATATACCGGAGCTCCGACCCTACTATATTACTTAATAGTTAGGTAGTCTAGTAGACATTGACATAGCTACCTAGGTAGACTTTGATCAAACATCGGTATAACATTACTGTCGACCATCGGTGTACAGGCACCAAGTGGATCCTCCAGGTTCGAGCGGGGCGAAAGAAAATTTGTCCCGGATCGTCTCCAGGGGGGGGTCGACGGTCCAGTTCGATTCTGCAGGTCGATGGGATATGGTCTTGGATCTTCATTCATATTCTCCCTCTATAATCTCTCCTTTTCCTCTCCCTCTATCCAGTCTCTTGTTATAGGCCCCCCTGATTCCTGAACTAGTTTCCTAACTGCTTTTCCCCTATCACCTTCACGATGCAGTGATCATTTACGGGCGTCTGCAGCCACCAACCCGGCAAGCTTCACCGCCTTCTAGTGAGAACCGCCCAGCAAAAGCTGCTTCTTCCCTTGTCTCCTCCCAGAGCCATGTCGTCGCAGACCATGACGGCGCCAGCAGTGGGCCATCGACCGCCTGATTCAGGTCCAGATACGCCCATGCACGACTATGGCTACTCACAGAACGAAATCACCTCTCCTACCGCCTCAAGGAGCGCCTCCGCAACTCGCGACATGCATAATTCTGCCCCAACCTCCAAGGCCTTGTCCGCCACCTCCATGGGAATCAAGACTGAACCCACCGATGCCCATGACTCCAACATGGATGTTTCCGAACACCAGAAGGATCTCAACACTCAATCCGCCGCCGGGGCCCTCCTCGCCCAACTACTTGGGAATCCTTCTGCACCGAACTCGGCCGATGCGACGGGAAACCAACATTCCGGACAACAATTAGATGACCAGGATATCAAGATGGACGACTCAAATGGCTTTCCCGCAGTCGATCAAACTGCTCACAACAGCATTGCGCTAGATTTCCAGCTCCCGCAAGATTCAACCTCGGTATCAAGGGTCATGCAAAATACTTCCAACGGACACGGGAAACCGGCTACTGACATTCTGGCGGAAATTGATGCGACACAGCAAGATGGAGGCATGGATGCGCACCGGCTGTCGAATGCGAGCGCCATGGAAACCCTATCTGACCCTTTGAATCCCAAATCCAACTTGGAGCCATCTCTTCTCCCTCCCTTCGATTTCGCCGCGGTCCCAAAAAATGCATTCGAGGCTCTCCAGCAGAACGAGTTGCTCACGGCCGCCTATCTCTCGCAAGGAGCTGATCTATCAGCACTCGGATACCAAGATGGATCAACATCGGTGGCTGGATCGGAACCGAAGATCCAAGCGTTTGCGAAGTTAGAGTTTGATGATGGCCATTTTTATGTCAATACCTACTCCTTCATTCTGGGGCGAGATGTTCGGGCCGCGCGCGCCGCCCATCAGCGAGAGATCCAGTTCCGGCAGGCCGTGCGGAGTTCTCGAGCAAAGAGTTCGAGTGGCGGAAATGTCTCTCATACGCCGAACAGGATGAAGCGGGAAGAAAGTGCTGCGATGATGGGAAGCGTGGTGAGCGACCGCGGTGGTATCATGGGATTCGATCCGGATATTCCCCCGCATCTTCCAGCCAACCTGAATATCAGCAGGCGCTCATCGAAGTCATCATTTGATGATTCTGCGATGCCCTTGAGTGCCAACCCTGCTCAATTACAAACAACAACCGTGACGGATTATAATGCGCTTGCTATGCAGTCTTTGCAACCAGAGACCAATGCGGATGCAAAGCCTGTTGATGCTTTAGCCTTACTCCCATCTCCCGACTCATGCCCTACAATTCCTATCCACCCCCTTCAACGATTGATGGCACTGCCGCGGGGCACCGTGGTATCTCCCGTCGCCATGTTCGTATATCTTACAATTTTGATCGCAATCTCTTTGAGATGGAAGTTATGGGCCGGAATGGTGCTTTTATTGGGGCCGATTGGCTTTCCCCCGGTCAGCTTCGTCCGTTACACAGTGGTGACTACATCCAAATTGGTGGTGTACGGATACGCTTCTTGTTACCTGATGTTCCTATCGGCGAGACTGGAGCGGATCGCATGGAGGAGCCGCAACCGCACCTAGAAGATGAGGGCGCAGATGCAGATGCTGACGCAGACATTGATGCTGCTCACGAGATTGATGCTGAACATGAGATCGACGATATGGACAAGCCTCTGAGCGACAGTCCTGATAGCAAGGACCCTTCCAAGTCCAAGCTCAAGAAGGATGATGACATGAAGCCTGTCCCTTCAATTGAATCTGGTGGGGACAAAGGCGAACAGCCGGCCCGTCGCCGTGGACCTGGCCGACCTCCAAAGGATGGTATCATGTCGAAACGTGAAAGGGCCGAGTTGGCTCGGGAGCAGAAGATTGCTGCGAAACGCGAAGCTAATGGTGGTGTCACTCCACCGGCGGCCAGCCGACCTCCACTTCCACCTCCCCCTACTTCTGCTTCCAAGGCAGGCAAGACGATAACGACCAAGGAGTCAGTTGGGGCCGAATCACCAACCTCCTCTGTCAAACCTTCCGAGAAGCGCAAATACACGAAGAGAAAGAAGGGCGATGGCACCCCTATGGATTTCCCTCTTCCATCCACGGAAGGTGGCCAATTTACCACAGAACAACGGCCTGAGGAGTATGTCAAACCCCCACCAGTCAAGAAGCGCAAGCCATCACGGTCACCATCTCCCAACTACCCTCCAGAATCTGCTTATTCGCCGGAGGATCTGGCCAAGCCTCCTTACAACTATGCGGTCCTAATCTTCGACGCTCTGACGGAGGCCGGTACTCCCATGACCCTGAAACAGATATACCGTGCGTTGAAGCTCAAATATCCATACTTTCGCTTCAAGTGCGAGACCGAAGGTTGGACCTCCAGTGTGCGGCACAATCTCAACGGCAATGGACACCTGTTCATGCACGCAGAACGAGATGGCAAGGGATGGTCATGGCAACTTCGACCTGGCGCATCTGTTGAGAAAGAGAAGAAGAGGCGTCCTTCACCTCCGCCTCCCCAAGCTCCTCCTATCCCTCCGCCCCAGCAGTACATGCCTCCCATGCCTCACTCATACGCACCACCTTCTGGTCATCCGGCACCAATGCCAAACCAGCGTCAGCATCAACATCAGCACCAGCACCAGCCCTTCCAATTCTCCACAATGCCGTCGAACTTCTCTGCGCCATTAGCAACGCCTCAACATTCAAGTCCCTACCCTCCTCCCTCTACTGCAGCTCCTCCCATCTCGACTCCTGTACCTCCTGCTGCTTCGGCACCTGCGCCAGTGCCTGCACCTGCACCTGCTCCAGTACCGACGCCTGCCGCTACCCCAGCCCCAGCTCCAACTCCGGCTCAAGCTCCAGCTCCAGCTCCAGCTACGGTTCCGGCTCCGGCTCCGGCTCCGGCTTCGATTCCAGCTCCGCCGCCGGTTGCAGCTCCTGCTCCCGTCACTGTGTCGGCCCCGGCACCAGCACCAGCACCGGCACCAGCACCAGCTCCTGCCCCTGCTCCGGCCCCAGCTCCGGCCCCAGCTCCTGCAGCTTTCCCAATCCCAAGTACTATTCGAAGCAGCCTTCCGGCAGCCTTCGCTCGGACAATCCCCTCTACCTATACCTCACCTTACGCCACCAACCCATCTCCACAGGCAGGACAAAACCAGCCGTCACAGACGCCACAGCCCGGCCAAGGACCGCCGCCGCAGCAACACCATCAATCCCCCTACTCAACCCCGAAACCCCCATCATCTCAACCTCCACACATCAATACTCAACACCAATCGTTCCCTCCTCCAGCTGGGCCATCTTATCAACACCAGCATCAGCAACCAGTCCAGTCGCAGCCACATCAGCAGCAGCCTCATCATGTGCCACCTCCGCATCATCAGGCGCAGCAGCCGCGTCCCCCACCGCCCGGGCCTCAGGGTCATCAGCAGCAGCCGCACCCTGTACAGTCCAACCCGGGACCAACCGGACCACCGGAGCCGTCATCGTTCAATGAGCGCGCCAACAAAGCCCTTGACGACTTTGAGTCCGTGCTTATGGAGGACTACGAAGACAAGAACTACATCCGGGAAGTCCTCCGCAGTGCTCGTGCTCGGGTCCTCGGCAATGCCACGGAAAGTTCATTCCCCGGCGGAGAACCCAAGGACGAAAAGGTTATCATGGATGTACTGAGCAGCCTGGTCGGAAGCCTAAAGGACGAGTAAAAAAGGAAAGAAGAGCAGCACAGGCTTGAGCCGATGCTTTTTCCCCCGTCACGAACTCACGACTCATTTATTCTTTTACTGTTTACCACCTTGGAACATTGGTTCCGGAGTTTTATTTTCGTTGCACTTGCACTTGCATTTGCACTTTTGCACTTGGACTCGGCACTCGCACCCACACCCACATCTTCCGGCTGTCTGCTAGGAGCTGACTATGGGCTCGACTGGGAGGCGAGGGGAAAAGAAAGAAAGAAAAAAAAAAACGGGAATAATCCCTTCTTGTCCCTCTCTTCCTCCTGACGACTTACCGAGTATACGAGTCCATGTCATTTGTTTGCGCGTCTGGGTTCTTCTTGAATCTTAGTGATATCCCTCTGTTCTTTCCAGGCAGCCGAGCTACTGGACTGTTTCACATCTTTTGTTTTTCAACACCTTTCGAATCCTCTTGCACCTCGTGATTGTCACAGATGCCTTAAAATCAAAAAGCTAGCATATAGAAAGAACAAATCATTTTACAAGACTTCTTATTTCCTTCCATTCTCATGCGGAGGTTGCCTTAGTGTGGTCCTTTTGCGCTCATACTACGAACATATTACTAGTATGCGTCATTTATTGCTCAAGCCTGGCAGCTGAACAGTGTCTAGGTATCAGCCTATGCTAATTCATATTTGATTTTTAGGTCCCTGTCAATAAGTATGCAGAGTCGGCCGGATTTCAAGGTTTGCGGCAGGTACTCCGTCCCTCGTAGGTCGTAGCACTCCGTCAATTCCGGATTTCAGATGCGAAACTACTAGTATTTCTAATCCAATCTAGATCCAGACCCACGGCAAGTTCATTCCATGACCTTCCTTTCCTTTTTCTGTACGTTCCGCCAAACCCCCTCCCTCCCCACCATAGGAAGAGGGGCGCGCCCGGAAATTCCCTATGGCGGGGTTCAAATTCAGGAGGTGAGAAGTGCCCAACTGTATTGGGCCGAGCGTAGCCGGAGCCGGTGAGAACGGTCCACCAGGAGGAGTCGAACTAGTAAACTAGTGAGGGGACTAGACTGGGTCCTGGTGAGTTTATTGTGTTGCCCTGGGCGTAACCCATGGATACGTCGGGGAGTTTTGATATGTATGTTGATGGCTAGATGGGGGAGTATACGGAGTATATATGGATGGACCTACATAGGTGGGAGGTGAGGGATGCATTGGGGAGTCTGGAGGAACAGCGACACACAGCAAGCATGCATGAGGATATTGCAGTGCCGCCGGCGGGTCGAGGATTCGGAATCCCTACAGAGTCAGTACGGAGTACAGTATCCGTACTTCGTACTCCGTAATGTACAGCTGTTCGCCCCGCCTCTTAAGACAGAATCTGTAGGTACGGAGTACATACAGAATAATGGCTCAAAGGGAAGCCGGTCCAATGAGGAACACCCATTGCCTCTCTCTCTTGGTGTCTGGGTGTCTCTGGTGTCTGCTGTTCCCAGCCCACAGCCCACAGCCCACAGCCATTGCCACCATGCGGCATGACGCTATTGCACACCGCAGGGATCGCTGGTTTGACGGGCCCCGGTGACTCAGAGGCCCAGTAACCAAAGTCATCGCCCTTGCTTGGTTGTACGGGGTGATGGCGGGGGCCGATGGTAATGGGGTGTGCCGCCGGATGACGGATAGTGATGACGGATGACAGACTCAAAGCGTGTGATTGGATTTGCCTCTGTGGGGGATTACTGTCGTGTGAAATCGCACCTTGGGATGCAGCTGGTCATCATGACCATCAAGGTCATGGTCACGGTCACCGCGCAACGGCTGGCATGTTCTCTACGTTCTGGAGGAGCCACGCTCAGGCCCGTGAGGAGTCTCCACTCCGTCATTGGGGGGGAGGTGATGATTAGTCAGGTAAGGCCCGCACGAGTCCGTGGGCCTTTTTTTAGAATTTTTATTTTTATTTTATTTTCTATTTCTCTTTTCCTTTCTCTTTTCGAAAAAAAAAGAAACCCGCAGAAAAAAAGGTGGTTGCATTGAACATGACTTTGTCCCTAAAATCGGATAGAATACCAGGGCGAATTCATTCATCCCTATAAAGTACAGTCAAGGCCAACCAAATTATTCATAGACCATTAGGCCTGTTCTGCTTTGCTGCTATTGTACTCCGTACTCGGTAGGTAATATACTGTACACTGTACACTGTAAAGAACACACCGGGGCGGTTTCGGGTTGATGAGTACTGGTATTTTTGATGTATTAGGGTGACACTCCCCTACCTGCCCAAATGGGCCACCAGCAGTGGTTGTGGCGGAAGTGCTAGAACTTCTAGGGTCGAGGCCTGTCACACGGTTACCAAAGATTACAATACACATACACAGCACACACTTTAGTTTCCTTCACACAGGCCACTCCAACTTCTTCCTCTCACCTCCCCTTTTTCTATCTCTCCAACCCTCTCCCCTTTCCCCTTTTCCAACGAGCTTTTCACTAAGTGTCGTTGCTGACCTCAATTCCCGAGGTTTGCCTCTACGCGAGGGAATCATTTTTGTGTCCTTTTTTCTCTCTATTCGTTTTTGGGTCTCCCCCAGAACGAGTGCCTGTGTCTGTGTGTGTCCTGGGAGGTAAAAATATCTTCGGTCTTAGGGATCCGCCTACGAAACTACCAACTTATCTTGTGATTCTGTGATTGGATTTTGCTGCTTGCTCGACAACTTCCGAACTCATCGTCGCAGATCTCTTGGTGTCTGGCTATCTCTATCCACCAACGCTCCTTCACTCTCGTTTGTCTTCGGTCCACTTGGTTGAAGATTCTCTCAATGTCATTAAACTAGAGACGTTCACTACGACCATACCGGAGCGACGCGCTCTTTCTACAGCGCCCCTCTCTCCATCTTCCCGGACTCAGGACGTCGCGGAGTTGTAGACGGTTCGCCTCTCCCCTAACTTCTTTCCGCCTGCCCCTGTTGCGGCACTGACCCTGGAGAATCGGATAACAGGCAAACTCGTCTACCTCACCCCGTCTTGACCGGTCTCCCCCCCCCCTAACCCCCCTCTCAATATGCCGTCTTTCTACTCTGCAGGCCACGGCCTGCCCACCCCTCCTCACGTCAACAGCGGCGGTCGCCTGGATGAACCCCAGTTCTACCCCATCGGCTACCCTGCGTTCCCGCCTCGCTACCACCAGAGCGGCTGCGAATTTATTGAACAGTTCTCGCAGTCCATGTGCTACGGAAAGCCAAACGCGATGAATCTACACCCTTCGTCAGCGCATCCGATGCACCCTCGGGATATGCACGCCATGGGCCAACAGCAGATGTATGGTCCGATGGCAAACGCTTTGCCTCCGATCCGCTCCAATGTCCAGCTTCCCCCCATGGACAGCGCTATCCCGCAACAGTACCGTCGCCAGGACATGGCCCCGATGAAACAGCAACACCAGGAACAGCCCCGCAAGGAGGAGAAAGCCACCGGAGGCGTCGCCGCTCATCTGGATTACGAGATGGATCGCATGTCCGACTTCGTGGCGGAAATGACCCAGGGAATGTATGATTTGTACAACACCAAGATCACCCTTTCAGATATTGACTTCGCGCGAAGCATCTCCCCAGGATCCTCAGTCCCCCCCCAGTTTCGGAAATACGTCTATCAAATCCTGTCTTCGACCCGCCTGCCAAGCTCCACCATTCTTCTCGGCCTCTTTTACCTGTCCAGCCGCATGCGCATGCTCTCTTCGCAGCGCGTCTTCCAGTCAAGCAGTGGCCAAATCTACCGCATGCTGACCGTGGCCCTGCTTCTTGGAAGCAAGTTCCTGGACGATAACACTTTCCAGAACAAGTCGTGGGCCGAAGTTAGCAATATCCCCGTGGCTGAATTGAACAAGCTGGAGCTCGAGTGGCTCTTCGCCTTTGACTGGAAGATCCACGATCGTATTTATGAACAGCAGGATGGGTTCGCCTCGTGGCGTCGTCATTGGGACACCTGGAGCGCCAAGGCTAACGTTCGAGCGCACGAGTCTCGCCAGACCCTGTCGCCTCTGGACACCAACGTCGTTCGCCAGCAGCCCACCTCCAAGCCCCTCATGTCGCCTGAAGGCCCTATCCCGCCCCAATATCAACGCGGCACCCTCGTTGAAAGTTCCTGGCTCAACCCGGCAGCCTCCGAGTATTCGCCGCCCTCGGCTCCGCACAGTGGACCGAATACGCCCGACTACTACTCGGTTGGTCCTTGGGCCTACTCGAACCCGCCTCCGCCCTACTCGCGGGCTTGGATGGCCCCGCCGCCTCAGTACATTCCCCAATCCGCACCCCGGTCGCAACCTCCGTCCTACAACCATACTCCGGCGTATGGTCTGCCCTTCGCTCAGAGTGTCTGGACCGGCCATGGATCGTCGTGTGCCTGCATGTACTGTGCCAAGCATCTTGAGCATTACATGTGCAACAGCGCCTTCCCTGCGCTACAGCCTATTGCTGCATAATTGCTGCAGACTAGGTCGCATTTCTTACTCCTTGATGTCTTTGCAGCTGATCCCCTTTATGATTACGATTGAAACCGACGACAGCCCTGGCGTCTCTGGTCTCATCGTCCTTTTTCGCCATCTATTTCTCTCACTTCCTGATTACTTTTATTTCTCATCAGGTCCTTCTGCGGCTTTAGAATTTCTCATTTTCGACGTTTGGGTGATATTGCATGGGTTCTTTTTTCGATGATACCGTTGTCCTTTTTTCTCTCACTTTTTTGTCCTTTGTTCCTTCGACGTTTTCTACGCCCTCTTCATTTTCTGGTTCGCTGGCCTGGCCTCAAAACTCAACTCTCAGCTTGAGCGATCGGCATTCCGCGTCAACCACCGAAAAGTACTTTTTGTTCTGCGATCTGCTGGTTCGTGTCGGCTCAGCGAAAAACTCAAAAAAATGCAAAAAAAAGAGGAAAAAACGCTCCCGCGGCGACATTGGCACGCCCCGGCCAATCCACGATCTCACCTCTTGTTCATCACGCTGTTTATGCTATACCTCGGTATCTCGAAGCTTCGTGTCACCACTTGAGCTTCGTCGGATCATTTTTGTTCTGCCAACCTCGCCCTGTGAGGTTGGTGGCTGGGGCCGCAGTCACGACGATCACGAATACCCTTAAAATCTGACCTTGTTTATTACCCATGACCTTGTTCGGTCCATTTCTTCGGTTTATTTCTTTCCTCTTATCAACTTCCTGGCATTTCGTCTGGCGGTGACTACCCATAGAATGCTTCTATTTCTTCTTTTCCACTTCGGTCCTCCCTTCAGATCGGTACATTATTTCACAATCTTCAATTCCCTCACGCTACAGTCTCTACCCGGCGTTAATACTTCGCTCCTCTCATCTCATGCAATCGCCTATGTTTTGTTCTTTCCGATCCGCGATCTGCCATTACATTCGATTCGACTCGATTCGCTTTACCAATCTGAATTCTTGTCTTCGTGATATTTCTTCGTTAACGACCCGGTCGATGAATCTCTCCACTCTCCGAGCTGGAGTCCTACCGGCCCGCCCTTTCTCTTCTTCAGATCTCCCGCTTGGCGGTGGGTGCTTGGATCTAAAACGAATGGGCTTGGTGGTTCCTGATTTCTCGGTATCTGCGTCCCTCCATTCTCCTTCGCTCCTCTGCACAATTGCCCAACCCCACTTTGGGATCGAGCCAGGTTCCCGGCAACTTGGTTTGTGTGTAGTCTATTAATGCTTTGTCTTCGTTGTTCTTTCTGTCAATTCTCTTCGTCCGGTTCTATACCAACTCGTCTCGCTGCTCGTTGTTATGGTCTGATTACCGTGGCCGTCAGCGTCGAGCTGGCTGGGCCCTTGTGTTTTGAGCTTGATTGAGTTTTCAAAGATGATCCGTTTTAAAAGATGAAAAAAAAATACATAAACAAGGCAAACTATTATCTTTGTCCTTCCATCTCGGCTTGTTGTAGTTGTTGGTTGTAGTAAAGCCAGCAGATTACATTGATTGGTCGGCATGGTGTCCTATCATTGTCATGAGCCTCTTAGCTATCAGTATGATCAACCATGGATGGTCTCAGACCTACTAGTATACAAAACGACATGGGAAGGGGGGAAGATTGACCAAAACAAGGCTCATTTTGTACCATTTCAATAAATCAAATCACTCATTTTAATCATATCGTCATAATCCTAACCCGTAGACAGGGTTCATATCCAAGAAACCAGAAAGGAACAAAAAGAAAAACCAAAACGAACCACGCATGCATGCACATGCCATCAAACCGGAAGCCATTAACCAATTTAACCCGCCTGGCCCAATTGGATTGATGCAGTGGATAGAAGATGCAGATTTAAAAGAAAGCCCAAGCCAATACAGAAAAGAGCAAAGATGCACCCATCTAGTATACGCTCCCGCGCAAACTCTGGTCTTGTTCTTGCTGTTCCTCTAGCGAGAGCTTTTCACTTTGGCGCTCTTGATGCTCCGGCGATGGTTCCGATCGCGAGTGCGTGGACATGTCATCGCCGTCGCCAAGGATATTCGCCATGCGATGGTGTGGTAGAGAGGGCGTCGACGAAGTATGTCGGTGGTGATGGTGATGGTGGTGTACATGCGGACGCGACTTTCTGGAATCATCAGTGGGATGGGTGCTGAGTTCGTCATCCCCGTCTTCTGAGAGATCCTGTGATGGATTCATGGCTGAGCGTGGCGAACGAAGTTGGGAATGGGAATGTACTGGTTTGTGAATCGCTCCTCGGGGAATATGGTGTTCCGTGTCGGAGGATTCGTCGTCTGATGGCGCGAGACTGTTAGCGCCGCTTAGGGAGCCGCCTCCGTCTCGGCCACCGAGGTGGAGGAGGGCCAGTTTGAGACAGGCCGTTGATGAGGATGTAGCGGGTGGATGGAGAAGGTGGTCTTCGCTGTCACGCTGAAGGCTATGAAGATTGGGTCTGCCAGAGCGAGAACCGTTGACCTTGGTTGCGGAGCTGGTGCCATGTAGGCGGTCATCGTTATTGGTGTTCTCGCCTTCTGTAGCTGGATATTCGCTCGCTTTATCCGGCTGATGAATATTATTATTATCACTGTCATTATTCTGGTGCATCCCGTTGCCCTTTGGGAAGCTGAAGCTGTTGTCAAAACTCTTGTTGTACTTCGCAGGGGATCGGAGAGACCCTGAAGATGGTTGGTCGATTTTATTGTTGCCCTCCGCCTGGGGTTTCTCATTGTGGTTGTTTTCATGCTTGATAGACTCTATCAGTTGTGTCCGTAAGGATTGCTTCGCACCCGAGGCCATGCCATGAATACAACCATCTGGACAGCCACCCCATTTTCTTCGAATCGGTACATTGTCCATAGGAGAGATAGGAGATGTGTCAGTACCCTTGGTTTTGCGTTCGCGGTCCCTCTCTTGGTCCCTCTCCTTTTTCAGGCCGGACCAGGTACGCAACTTGTTTTGCAGAGTGTATTTGCCGTTGTCCTGATTGTGGGTCATGATCACGAACTCGCAATGGTTGATGTTGCGGAGGTCCTCAAAATACTCAACACTCCAGTGGTACCACTTCATCAAGAACACTCGCGTCATGAGACCGTGAGTGACCAGGACGCAAACACTGGCGGTGTCTTCATCGCCAAATAGTCGCCACAGCGACTCGTTGAACCCACTCACCCGGTCATAAGCATCTGCCGCAGACTCGCCGTTGGGAATACGGTAGAAGAAATGACCATAGTCTGCACGTTCCATCCACATGCGTTCCATTTCTGTAGAGCATGGCTGGAAGTTCCCAAAATCCTGCTCTCGCAGCCGGGGCTCCTCGTAGACCTTGATTGTGTGTCGGGGAAACGGAGACGGGGAGGGCGAGTCGGAGGTCAAGGATTCGAGCATTCCCTCTGTAGTTTCTCTTGTACGGCGGTAGGGGGAGGTAAAGAAGTGAAGGGTATCATCAGGATTCAGGAGATCACGCAAGCGGCGGCCTGCTTCCTGTGCCTGACGATGTCCTTCGGGGGTAAGTTTAACCCGGTGATCTGGAGTAGTTTGGTGGATATCTCTGTTTTTATTTCCTTCTGACTGCGCATGGCGAACAAGTATGATCATCTAGTTATAGCAAGGTATCAGTCCCATATCGAACCAAGTTCAACAGAAAAGACAAAAACCACTTACTCGTGGTTTCCCCATGGTTGCGGGTGCTATGTGGGAACAAGCACGATGCGGGGGAGGGGTAGATAGTTGCTTGGAAAGATGAATTTGAGCGAGGGTAAGAACGTGAATTGAAAAGAAAAAGGGAAAGAGAGATATTTGTAAAAGAGAAGCAGCAAGAACTGGAACAGCCCGGTTCACTTCGAGCAAACAAGAAGATTGCAGGAGAAGAAAGTCGACGCCGCGCCGTCCCGCACGGACCACCCGAAGTGTCCATCCACAGCGCGGCCTTTACGCAACGTCACTCCCGAACCCCATAACGCTTAAGGGGAGAGAGATTTGGACTCGGAGCCAAGTACTCTGTATATGAATCACATATACATATGGCTGACTCGCTACTTGAGCTGCTGGCTCCACACCTGCAGACCCCAACTCATGATGCCACCACTACTGAGCAGTATTTGACTCGCCTGTCCACCCTCTCCCTCGACTCCCTCCAATCCACTGAACCGCAGTCACTCGCACAATCCTCGCATTCAACCCTTCTCTCCCTCCAGGCCCTCTCGAACCGATCCCACCGTGCATTCATCACATCGGCCGATAACCTGTCCACACTTCGTACAAGCATTCCCCAATTGACGAGTGAAGCGCAACAGCTACGCGATGCCCTGCCGAAACTCGACGAGGAGACCGTGGGATTTTCCACCAAATACAGCAAAATTACAGACAATGCCGCTTTAGAACGACGAAAGAAGGCCATGCAGCTGGCCCGCAATGTTGATAGACTGTCTGATATCCTCGAATTACCATCCCTCCTCTCGACTGCCGTGTCTGCCGCCTCTGCCAACTCTGGTGCCGGTGCAGCGTCCACCACCTATTCCTCCGCCCTCGATTTGCATGCACATATCAAACGACTTCAAACTTTATACCCGGACTCCCCCCTGATTCAAGATGTCGTATCCCAGGCGGAGGATGCAATGAAAGAAATGACAACCAATCTGATTGCGGGACTCCGAACACAAAACTTACGGTTGGCAGCTGGAATGCGAACCGTCGGGTGGTTGCGGCGAGTAGCACCAGATTTGGAGGCACTGCATAATGATACAACATCGGGGGGAGGGGAGGGGTCACTGGGGGCTGTTTTCTTGGTCTGCCGACTGGCACACTTGGTATCGACCTTGGAGGCATTAGAACCACTTCGGGAGTTAGCCGATCAAGAAACACAGCGGAGGACCCATGCAAAGGAAAAATCGGAGACCTGGTCGAATGGTCAGCAAACCGACCGCTACTTGAAACGATATATTGAGATCTTCCGTGAACAAAGTTTCGCGATCGTCTCGCTATACAAGAACATATTCGACTCCGAACAATCCGAGACTGAAACGGCCGTGTCCGGGCTGAGGGGCATCAACAAGGCGGAAAAATTGGCATCCCAACTAGCACGAACCAGTGATCCCTTGCAAAAAATGCCACCCGCGCTCGCCACATTCCCGATGTACCTTGTGCAATTACTCACCGAAACCATGCGGACATATCTCCCCAACGTGCGGGATCGAGGCTCACGAGAGAGTCTGCTCACGCAACTTCTGTACTGTGCCGCCAGCCTTGGTCGCCTTGGGGGCGATTTTGGGATGATTCTGACAGAGCTGAGTGACGAGGAGGAGCTCAGCTACGAATGGGAGGATGTAATGCGCAAACACCGAGCGCTGGCTGGCCGACTGGAGCAATTGACCAGCCGAGTACCAGTGCATTGATATCAGGATACCAAGCTTTCCAAGGTTGTAGATAGAAAGGAGTAATAATCGAGTCAAGATCTATATTATCCTACCGATCTTGGTATAGTATATTGAGAGGACTCAGGACAATGCCACCTGGGCAATGCAGTACCTACTAGTAGTAAGATAGTAAGCATCTATTTTTGTATAGAACTTCCGGCGCCAAGACTCTCGGGTCTCCGCCTTTCCCCATCCTTTTGTGTCACGCTTCCTTTCGTCTCCTCTTCTCCTCTTCTCGTCCCTCCACAAACTCCCTTGATCCCTCCGAATCTTTTACTGAATTCTGAATGTCGCCCAGCTCCACCTCTTCTTGACTTTAACCTAGCAGCGCGGAGTCATGGCCGCCCCAACCATCTCGACCATGATTGACCCGACCAAACAGGCCGAGTACCCCATTGTTCTAGGGGAAAGACTGGCCAACGATACAGCGTCCAGTCGATTGATCAATGTGAATTATAACTACAAGACCAAGTCCGCAACACCAAACCAGCGTTCGACCATCACACCTTCCTCCCTGTCGCGCGATCTCTACGACCTTTCCGTCACCGATAAGGCCCCGGGTGCCGATCACAACTTGACGTATGCCTACCAGGGCAGTGAGGACCCTACCGACGAACGCAACCTGGTCTTAGTGTTTGACCCCGACCGCAAGGTTTTTGTCCTAGAGTCAGTTTCGACGAAACTGAACTTCAACCTTCGATCTCGACCTGGAAAGACCGAGAAGGAAGTTCGCCACGAGAACCTGGAGCTTCTCCCGGTGTACCATGAAGACGATCACACCTCCTCAGACGATCGCAACGCTGGTAACACAAGTGAAGACGAAGGCCAGGCTGATGACAATAACCCCTATGACTTCCGTCATTTCCTCCGAAAGGGCGGCGCGGAGAACCAGCCGGCCTCGGTATCTACCGCCACCACTCCGGAGTCTGTCTACACCAGTAAGGCGACCACGCCAGTCTTCCAGGCCTCCAAGCCCGCTCCAGTCTCCAAACCAGCCCCGGTCTCAGCCCCGAAGCCGATGTCTCGTCCGAAGAAGCAGACGAATCCTCTTCGAGCACCTAAGCGACCTACGAAGCTGACCGCTTCAAGCGCTCCAACCAACTCAAACCCGCCCCGGTCAACTCCAGAGCCGCCGGCCGCGCCCACCCCCCCGCGTGGACCCACAGGATCATGAAGACACCCGGTCTATTCTCTCCGATGCCGGCACTGGCTCTGCATCACAGCAGACTATTCAATCTCCAAACTCTAACATAATTGTTGATGGGGACCTCATCATCGACATGGGTTCGCCACCTCCGTCTCGGGCCTTCAAGGTGAACCCGGCCTTTTTCTCATCTAACAACACCCCGACCGATGATCGAGATGAAGATGAAGAGGAGGAGGAAGAGGATGAAATGGATAGTTTCCGTCTTCCTTCTCCTGCTCGAAACACCAACCCTCCACCCGTTGAGCATTCTTCGGGGGGGAGCTGGTGATAACAATGAGATGGATGACGATGACTTTGATCCTCTGGCGGCAGAGATGGAAGCAGCCTTTGAGGAGACTGCTCGTGAAGAGCAAGTCGCGCCTCGACAATATACGCAGACTTCGACCTCGGCGCGGTACAATGTGCCAAGCGACGACGAGAGTGAGGTCAGTGAAGAAGAGTAAAGTATTATTGTATCGTTTGATTTATTTGCATGGCATCAGCATGGCGTTAGGTTGTAAAGTTTTTAGAGATACCATACTATCATCAATGGAATTCAGAAGAAGCAACAGTACTCATTCAGCAATATCTCAGTCTGCTCTCGGTTCCCTTGGAAACCAGCAAAAGAAAGGAAGCCATATAGTATAGACCAAGATTGAATACGCTAATGCTGCAATATCAAGGATTGTCATACAGGGCACACAAACTCGACGCTACGGAGACCAGCTACTAACAGGGGTAAGAAAATGAACCTACCAACTCTCCCTCCAAAAGAGCGTTGGCCCAATATCTAATGAACCCCTGGTCCTCCAGTGTTACATTGCGTACCAAATGACCCTCAAATAGAACCCTTTCATCTAACAAGCGCAACAGCTTTTGACCCAAACTTGGCCGATGGTCCTGATCAGTATCATCGAAGACAGTGAGACAGTACCATGAGCATTTGTCCCGCGATGCCAGTGGCGTCTTGAAAATGACTGCACCCCGATCAAAGAAATACTCCCCATCTGCCCAGCGTAGCAACTCATCTAAGTTCGAACCAATGTATTCATCCGAATTGCAGATCTTTTCTGTTGCGCAAAAGTAGCCAAAAATCGGCGACATGATAATTCCAGAAGACTGATGACCAAGGTTAATCCACAGATTTGACGTATATTCGCCATGCGAGTCTTCTTTCACCCAGTCGAAGACCGGTGAGCCCCACTGGTCTTTCATAACGGTCATTGTAAAACAAGAATTCTGCACAGCTGCTCTCAAAGAATTCGACCCCGTCATTCTTTTCAAAATCGCGACTTTGTCTAGCCCTTGAAGGAGTAACTTCCGATTTCCTAGAAAGCTGGGTGGGCCTAGTTTGGCAATCGTCCAAAGAGAGCTTAGAGCATCTGAAGTCCCAGTGATAGCTGTGATTTCTCGAACTATGCCGTAGTCGCTAGGCCGGAGATATGACTGGAACGATATGTGGGCGTAAACAGATTCGTTGCTCGGAAGGAGAGGGTGTTCTTCGGTATCACTAGACCCAGTCCACATATTCTTCAAGGCTGAGATAAAGCTCGCGGTGATTTGGATCGGACGATCTAGATTAAACAGCTGCAATAAGTTTGCTGCATTCTGCCTCAAGTCTTCTGGGCTTGGAATCGACAGGATCGTGGCGAGCTCTCCAAACGTTTCGGGCAGAGATAGGGATCGAAAGGTAAAAATCACTTTGTTTGCATCTTGGATAATGGAATTAGCCTCCCACGAACTAACAATAGGAGGACTTATGCATTCTCGGGGGAATCCCTCTAGCGAGGAATGTCCCAGTGGGCTTTCTTGTAAATCAAGATCCTCGGGCTCTGGTGTTCTCGGGAACGATCCCGGGGGACAAGGTGACGATGACCGAAACGACCGAGGTAGTTGATTCCAATCTTCGTCAGAATCGTATATCTCAAGATGAGTTTGCTCTATCTTGGAATGAGACACCTGGGACTGTGCATCCCACCAGACGATGCTTTCTGTTTCGCTTCTGGTATCATCGACACCGGATTCATAGTTAGAAAGACAATTAATGACATCTTCCCGATAGATATCTGAGGCCCAGTCATATATCATGTCGACAATTAAGCAAAGCTGCAAGGCCTTATCGTTGCGCCGGATGGTGCCTTCCCATAATTCAATAATTTCCTTTATTTTAATTAGTAAATTGCCTCGCATTCAAGTTGTCCGTACGAGTGACCCACCGTGCTGTCCCCATTCGGTATACAGGCGTATACTCTCCATAGATCTCCTATGTATGCCATGAACCAAACCATTGGGGAGTAGTTTTTGTTATGACACTCTTCTTTCAAGGACTTTTGACAATTGACCGCTAATCTAATTGGAAAAGCGGTTTGTCGTTCCACGGCCTCGAAGTTAAAGCCGGAGACTTCTGATTTGGCTTCCAGAATAAGAAAAGGCAGAAGTAAGCCACCTATAGCCCTGAGAGGTGACGGTGTTATATTTGGATAAGTTTCTTGTGCCAGATCTTGCGAAGGCGATTGACGAAGGCCTAATAGATAATCTGGCCTTCGAGTACCTGCGTCAGGTATCTTGGGGTCATAGAACTTGGCTCCGCTTTTTCCGATAAAAGCTGGGTCGACAATATAAACCTATGAAAGGATTTTGATAAGCTATTGATACGTGTCCTAGTAGCTTAGCACAAGTTTCAGTGCACTTACTTCCTCGATGGTGTCAGCTTCACATCTGCATAAATCCCTATTCTTTCGTATCTCATTGATCTTGTCCGCCGCTCGTGGACACGATGGAATAGTTTGAAACTCAGATATCCATTTGTTTCTATTACACCTGCGACTATTGATCTGTCAGACTCCCAACTTGAACAAAAATCGGGCGATATCAGGAACGATACCATGTAATCCCGTCGCTAAAGCGACGAAAAAGATGAATTTCCGTTTTCCCTCTCCAATCTTGTTCTCGTGCTCTCGATTTGCGACAGTCGTCGGCAGTACGTTGAAGGTGTTGAGTATTGCGGATTGTTTCTCTCATTTGTCTACCCCGAGGTGTACCCGAGTGCCTCTTTGCTCTTCTGAAATAGTCATCGTATTTGATGTTTTCAATTTCCCGAAAGGGGTTAAACAAAGACACGTATTGGGTAGGCCAGTGAGAGACTGGAAGAGGACCAAGAAAATTGATCTTATGCTTTGCAATAAACTCACTCTCCTCATCTGGGCTCATCGATTTTCGCTTTGTGCTTGGACTCATAGTGCAGGGTAGAAGAAATTTTGAAATCAGAACCTCTGATCGGGGGCCGCGGAATACCTTCGATCCAGGAGTGGCTGGTCTTTATGGCTGAGCAAACTAGTGCTGGGGCTTTTCATGCATCAGCCGCTTCTAGGCTGCCTCGTGCCCCTACGGTACTTTTTACATCTCAGTAGTTTCTCCCGTGAAGCAGTCATCTCACGACTTTCATTATTTGGTGTGTTCGGGGAATATGCAGGATCATTTTGGATTTGCTTTTTATGAGATTCTACTTCGTACATATTTCTCATAGTCACTGCTATCTTTCTTGACTTGGTCCCCCAGGGCAGAATCTATCTGCGTGGGGATTATCATCGCGGCCCGGTCCAGCGATGCGTGGGGCGTGGGAGAAGCTAAGAAGCATGGCCGCCACTCAGGAGAAGCTATTAGCCGTCGTTGGGGGCTATGTATGAAACAACTAACTGCGGGGTGTTTTGAAGCACATTGACCAGTTATATCCCAGAGACTACGGAGTAGTAGACGAATAGGTTTGATTCGATGATTATGCTTGTAACTCCTTCCGATGTTTGTTTTTTTCAAAAGGCATGCACAACTTGAACACCTTGGCCCTTTTTCTGAAGTTCACACTATACTGAATACATCCAACATGTTGCCTAAACTTTTATCTTCACCTCATTAATCAGTCGTGCACTACGTAGTACTAGTAGGAAGAAATAATAGTAGTAGTAGTAGTGAAATGAAGAGAATTTATCTGATTCTTGAATAGATACCTAGGTATAAAGTCCTTATTCCAGTTAGAATATAGGCCATGTCTCTTGATATTAAAAAGCAGATTTCATAATTGTATTAGTCACTATTTCTTCTTCCGACGCAGTTTAAAAAATAATCTTTTCCAAGTATTTGTAGGTGCCCTGCTGGGTTTCCTTTCTCTGACAATATTTGACGGTTGAAGAAAGGATCTCCCGTCTTCAATACAGCGCCAATTCCAGTTGAAAGCCCGCAGGAATATGGTGATTAGACGAGGGCATGCGACAAATTCCTCTTCGGGAATTGCCTCTAGCCGCTCCTCTAAAGTGCCAGGGAAAAGCGGTATCCCTAGAATATCAGCAACTTCCTCGCCAGAAAAGTAAGGCCGCCCAAGAAAATATGGGAACTTGGCAGACCTCAGATTGGCTCTTGAGCCCTTGCAGCTTTCTCCCAGGTCTTTGATAAAGAGTCGAACTCTACCCTCAAGGTTGGGATGTATTTCAAATAATTCGATGAGGTACGCTGTCCGATCCATCTTGCCCTCGCTTTGCGGGCTCCCCCCACACTATGTATGTGCCACGAAGCTCAAATAGCTCGAGGAAGCGCTTTGGATCGAGAACCGGGTTTTGTAGTTCATCTATTCCACTTTGGGCTCGTCTTTCATCAAGCGATTCCATTGCGCTAGGTGCCTGGGCGTCATAAGGTGATGGGTCGCTTTTATAGCGGACGATAATCGTAATTAGCGACTTATAATTGTGATGATCGTAGCAGTTGAGAATGTTCGGGTTATCGACGAATGTGCGTGCCTTCCTTTCCAACCCGCCCAGCAGAAAGAAGTTGTACTTGTTAGGTTCCTCCGTAAGCTCGAGAGTTCGAAGGATTGTTTCGATTGTAAGACCTACTTCCTCCATTTTGGTATACGTTTTGCTTTCGAGGCGGAAGTTGAAGCTTGCCATCTCTTCGAAGAGGAAATGAGTGATAGGCGCCATTTTAGTGTTGCAGGAGTGGATTTGAAGATGTAAACAGAAGGAAATCCCAGAGAAGTTTTAGTTCCCGAGAAGGACTCTCGATGACCTCCGAGGCGGGAGTAGTAAAAAGCAGCCGCGACTATTATGGCCTGTATCGGTTCCAGAACCTAGGAAATTGACGGCGAATCCATGGGACGGACATATCAGTATCTTACTAGTACTACTTAATCCAAACCGAGTCCCGCCCCCCGATGAAACATTTGGGAAACCTCGGAACTACACTCCAACCAAGTTCTTGCCAATCTAGTAGGAATACGTCAAAAATACAGCCACCCTATAATATTTCATGTGAATGTAGTATTATAATTTAATCCCAATTATCATAGTATGTTTGTAAATAATATATTCTGCTAATATACTATATTATCAAAGATCATATGTTCACAAAGATCTACTAAAGTTAGTGGAGCTAAAATATAAACCAGTAGGGATCGAAAATAGAGGAGGAGGAATTCAGAGAAGTAGTAGCAATCTTTTCATGGGCGATCAGTCTAAGACAGGATGTGGTGATGATAATACGTTAGCCTGCTCTTGTAAATGTACTAGTACCAACTTCAAGAACACGATTAGCAAACCGACTTTCATACTATATACCTAGGTATATACTAGTAGCTATTAGACTGGCCAAACCCATTATTTCTGAGTACTAGTAGTATGAAGAAGTCCAATGTGAGGGGTTTACTCAGGCTTCCGTCAATTATTCCTAATAACTTGAAGGATTCGCAATTCCGAAAGGGTCCACAAAGGAAACGCTCAAGTAAAAACCACAGGAAAACAAGCTCCGACAACGAAAGTTCCAAAGTCCTCTTCCACATTTATGGAATCTAAGTTCAAAGCAGAATGCTTCAGTCAAACAGAAAGAGTGTCTACGCTGACTGAATTAAAAAAAATGCGAATATGGACTACTAGTATTAGTGTTCGAAATACATGACTAGATTTTGAATACTAGTAGTTCAGTCGGGCCTGTCTTCCTCCGATGATTGATTTTTACTACTTGACTACTATCTCTTGGATAGCACTGATCTCGTTTTGACGCCTTTCTTTGATTCTTTTATGTCCAGAACCTTCCTGTCCAGGTGGTCAAGGTGCTTTTCATCAAAGCCTCGACTCTTTGTTACGATGTGGACTACTCGAGTCTTAGACTCCTTTCTTGTCCTCCGCTCATAGAGCACTAAGAAAATACCTAGGTATATTATTATACTTCACCTTTCTTTTCTACACAGTATCTTTGATCCTCTAAGTTCAAGTTCAATTTCAAATTTCAAAATGAGTGGTCGGTTAACTTTCCAAAAAAAAAAGGGACAATAATACCCCTGTGGATTCAAAGTCTGGTCGACACCGGAAAGCTCGTCAAGGAGAATCCTCCAAGTCAGAAGGAAGTCGTAGAGATCCCTCTTCGCAAGGAGGAAAGAAGTCCATTTCCAAAGGCAGAAAGCGGTCATCATCGAATCTAGCTGAGCCAGATGAGAGATATCAACCCAAGAAACCAAGAAACATTTCTTACCATTTTCCTGGCTATCCTCCCAATTTGCCAGTGTGGGGTTATGCTAAGTCTTATGTCGGGGTTTTCAAAGCACCTGAGGTAGAGAGACCCCCAAGAGATAGATGGTCGAAGCCATCAGAGCCAATTAATAATAGAGAGCATCTACCTGAAGGCTGGCATGATGAAGAGCCTGACCTTGATCCTAAGTATGCGACGACCAAAAAGACACAATGAAAATAGGGATTTTCCTTGCTAATAATTTTATGTAGCGATACGGAAGCTCATATTGCTCGATGCCACGAAAGAATTGCAGACGACATTATACCAGTTATTTTTGAACACAAGCTCAAGACCTTGATTTCTCAAACGGCCAAGGAGGAGTAAGTTTTTCTCTCACTATCCTGGCATGCTTTATGGAAAATAAAAACTGATTTTTCATTGTATCACAGTGCTTTGAAGTCGAAATGGCGTGTATATGACTGGAATGTGGTACGGCGCTTACATAGCCTTGAAAAATAGAAAAATGACTCGTAGATCGAGATGATGACTGCAAGCTGTTGCCAAATGTCAGGGCTATCTCCGCAGCCTATCAATCAGGAGAGCTCGAATGGGTTCAGGGTCTTGTGACTTATTGGTATAATGGGCTCCGTTTAACCCGTTTAACCCAGCCGAGACCTTATAGTTCGGAGGAGCTTTTGAAAATTGCTCGGGAAAATGGTGGTGGGTCAACTGGATATTGGGTAGAAAGCGTAAGCTAATCCGAGAGGTCAGATCTTGAATAGATACACCGTATTGACCATGATTCCTCAGCTAAATGGACCCGGTACTAATATGAACAAAGCATTTATACATACTGCTCAGGCAGACCGAAAGGGAACCGGCACTTCAATTGTGGGTATCTCATCGAGAAAAAAAAGCCTTAATATTCGAGCAACAACTGATTTCCTTTACAGACGAAAGTTGCTATCCGTATCCCAGGTGCACCAAAATGGGCTTATTATGAGTTTGAAATGATGGAAGATTCCCGGGCCGACCTTATGACGATCTTCTTCGGCGATCTCGTGCTCTTGCAAAATATGGAATCCACCGCCACAGGGGCTGCCCCAAGCGCATTGCCAAGTGTGTGTAGGAGTTATCAATTACCAAATAGCGACAAATGTGAATCGGCCTCTTATATAAGGATGGTACAGGCAGCCCTGTTTGCTGATGACAACGGTGATGTCATGACAAACCCGGGCCAGGAGTGGGATCTTATACAATGTATCATCAGAGATGGTTACCAACCTGATTTAGATGATGACAGAATTACTGGTCTTTAGTCCAGGTACAAGGTATACGTCGGGTCTGCTACAGACGCCAGGAACCGTTTGTATCTCACGGACATCAAGGAAGGATTAGACGAGTTCTTACCACTTGTGCCCAACCCACATCGGAAGAGAAATATGCCTTTTTGGAAACTCCAAACTGCCACTGTCGAGCAATCTATCCCACAAAGTTATGGGGAACGGGCCGCTGGGATTACTGGCATGACTCCTCTATGCTAGTGAAAGGAAATTCGAGTTATTTGTAGATGAAATTATGTACTTCCTATTACTGGCTTTAACTAGGAGGCATCTTTAAATTCGAAAATGATTTTTTAATTCAGATCTAGATGAGCTGAACTCGGTTATCTCCGTATTGCTTGTTCAATTCAACTTGAACTTGAAGTGAACCAGGAATGCTACTAGTAATGTTCAAGTTTATATACTTCGGAGTCTCGGCCCGAGTTATTCCGCCCGGAGCTTCATTCATCGCTGCAACAACGCCGCCTTGATTCCGAATCCAAATTCTCCTTTGCTTTGCAAGGCCCTCGCCAACTTGAAAACCCATCACGACCGAGCCTTTTTACGAATCTGCGACCGTATCCAAATACCCACACGGTGATGCGATGAAAGGACTCGTTATGCGCGATTGGACGAACCTACTTTCAAGCCTGGGATAGGACATCACGAAACCAGACGCCCAAGGTGCGCGCGGGCACGCTACACTTGTCAACCACCAAGTCGTCTTCCTCCCATCCTCTTGATATCACTGTCACCTTACACCTCTCTCTAAATGGACCAGTCCGCGACTTCAAGAGGCATCCCCGGCCTGCCCAACCCGGTTGTTGCGGCCGCACAAGAGAAATGGATGTTCACGGATGAGGAGCTCGAGCGCACTCCGACGCGCCTCGACAAGATTGAACGGGAAAAAGAGGATTACATTCGACACCGCGCAGTTGAGTTCATCTGGCAAGTCAGCATGATGCTCAGGATGCCACCACAAACCTCCATGACAGCCTCGGTTCTCATGCATCGGTTTCTGATGCGATATTCCTTACGAGGACAATACCCAGAGCAGGCCGGGGATCTCATGCACCCCAAAGTGATCGCGGCAGTGGCACTCTTCGTTGCATTCAAGGTGGACGAGACGATGCGACGGATGAAGGACTTTGTGGTTGCATGCTGTCGTGTTGCGATGAAAAAGCCCGATATGGTGGTTGACGAACAGTCGAAGGATTATTGGAAATGGCGGGACCTCATTCTGCAAAATGAGAGTGTGATGCTTGAATTTCTCTGCTTCGACCTGCAAATGGAGTCCCCCTACAAAGTGCTGTGGGAATACTCCCTCTTCCTCGGAGTCCAAGAGAATCGACCCCTCCGACACGCAGCCTATGCCTTCCTCAATGACTCCACCTATACAATCCTCTGCCTCCAATTCCCCGCGCGCGTCATTGCTGCGGCCGCCCTCTACGCAGCCGCCCGACACACCCAAGTCGCATTCCCTGACGACTCCCAAGGCCGACCATGGTGGGAGCAGATCGACGTGCGCATCGAAGACCTCATCAAATCCTGCAAACTCATCGTCAAAATATACGAGCGTGTTCAACAAACTCTCAGCAAGGGCTACCCAGATTTCACCTTCTCCGACACCGACCCCACCGACCCAACCCGCCTATTCAACAGCAACCCAACCTCCTTCGAACTCACCCCTAAGAACTCTCTCGCCACATCGGCCGGTGAATCTAGTACACCAAACGGCCGCAAGCGTTCCCGCGAACCCGAGTCTCACTCCCAAGACCAGAAACAACCAACTCCAGCCCCGGCATCTCTGAATGGATGGCGCTCCCCAAAACGCCAGCGCACGATATCCCCAATGCCGGGAACAACGCCCGCCAACAACTCACAAACACAGGCACCATCCTCCCGCCCACGCATTCCAATGCGAGCCATGGAAACGTTATCTACGCCGAAAGTGGAAACCACGAGTCCAACCCCGGCCACTGAACCGGAGACATCTGTACCAAATCCTAAAGGGGATCCCAGCGCGAAAGAAGGCGAAATCAAAGAACATAAGAGTGCTGCGCCTGAACCTAGTGACTCCCAAATACCTCCGCCGACTCGGGATGAAGGGGGCGGCAGCGAGGAAGGCGAGGTTTAGATTATTTCCTAGGTTGATTCTCCGTATCGTTTTATTTGGCATGGATGGAGTCTGTGTTTCGGGATTGGGGGAGGAATTACTGGGTGGAATTATTGTAAATCAGTAGTTGTTATTGCAACTCTGCCACTATTATCTTCATGTTACAAGACATCAATGATAACTTCAAGAATAGAAGTACTGCTGCTACTACTTGCATAGAACGAATGGGGTAAAACCAAATGCGCTTGCGCGTTTCCTAGAGCTAATGATTCTACCGAGAGCAAGACTCGCTGGTTTTATTCAAAGAATACGATAGAAAAGAATGCTGACAATCGAGCTTATCCAAAAAGGAATGCAAGTCCTAAACGCCGAGCCAATGGAATGAGAAAAGAGTAGCATGGCGACTGGAAATGAAAATAAAGTGTGTATGCATTGCTAAACACATTACACACCCGCTGTCATCACGCCCAGCCCATGGTCCAGCAGCGAGCTTGGTGCCACGAAGCTAAACCCACCGAAGGGGTCACCATCGCCGGGGGTCTGCCCTGCAACTCCAGATAGGCGGTTCCGGCCAGCCGCATTGTAGAGATCATCAAATCCCCCGGCCATCGAAGGGCTCAGAGGGATCTGAGTGAAGTCCTCAGAGAAATTCTCCGCCAGGGCCGGGTCTGTAACGATAGGTTGGATTGGCGGGGTGAGCTCGCGGCGCTCAAGGGAAGCCCAGTCGATCTTGCGGAAGAAACGGTGTTTCTTGATAGTCTGCATGTCCTTGGGCATGTGATATCCCAGTCGCTTGTTGGGGTCCTTGCGCAAAAGACGGATGAGCAGGTCTTTGGCGTCGGGTCCGATGAAGTAAGGGATGACGAGTTTCTGCTTGATGATCTTCTCTTGAAGCTTGGCATGATTGCCTGCGCGGAAGGGTGGGGAGCCAGTGAGGAGGTCGAAGCCAAGGGCACCGAGGGACCACCAGTCACAGGCTTTGCCGTAGGGCTTGCCCTGAACAACTTCGGGCGCCATGTACTCGATCGTGCCGAGGGAAGAGTTGCAGCGGTCATCATCACTGAGGGCGATTTTGCTTAGGCCAAAGTCGGTGAGCAGTAAGTGGCCCTCGTGGTCGAGGAGACAGTTCTCCGGCTTCAAGTCGCGGTAAAGAACGCCGACAGTCTGGTGCAGGTGTTCAAGAGCGAGGACCATCTCCGCCATGTAAAAAGCAGCCGTATCCTCCTGGAACATGCGCTCCATTGCAAGGTGGGTAAAAAGCTCGCCACCTTGGGCGTATTCCAGGATGAGGTACAGCTTTTCATGGTCTTGGAAAGCATAAAATAACTTCACCACGAACGGGTGACGATTAATACTTTCCAGTACCATGCGTTCTGTCTTGGTTTGTTCCACCAACTTCTTATGAACGGTGATCGATGCCTTGCGAAACTGCTTCTGCGCATAGAGCTTACCCGTGACAACATGACGAACCAGCAACACAGTTCCGAAAGAGCCTTTACCGAGGCAGAGCAGGGGCTCAAAATCCTCCGCGGTCATTTTCCGGCAGATCTGGCTGCGAATATCGGTGCCGTTCACAGCGACTGCACAAGGGCTTGAGCCTGTGGTGACTTCTTCCTTGTCGGCGTCTGCGCTGACGAAATCCTGGTCAAGAGGCACCTCATAGCTGGTCAAGACCTCGGTATGATCACTGTCAGAGTAGACGCTCGCATTGCTAGGGGTCTCGGAGCAAAGTCCCGATGTACCATCCGTCGGCTTTCCAGAGAGGCTCAGCGAGTCCAGCTGGAGCTTCAATGCGCTCACCCCATGACCGGTAGTCGGCTGCACACGTGGACTGACTGCGCCGAGAGCAGTAGCCGGTCGCGAATCGGCAGCACGAGAGCTTGTGGTAGAAAAGTCCGAATCTTCATCACCCGAAGCAAGCGGGGTGAAGCCGTGAACAGTTGAAAGGGCTGGGTCGGCCGAGCCGACCTGCTCCTTCTTCTTTTTCTTCCGGCGCTGTCTCCCAGTTAGGAGGGTTGGGAATGCGGGGGGTTGTATGGCATTTTCTCCCTCGTTGTAAGCAGCCGTATGTTTGCGCGGCGAAAGCCGATCGCGCATGTGGACATCCGCGCTATGATGATTGGCCGAAATTTCTATGGAGGGCTGCGCGCTGTCGGCCTGCGGAGTGAACACATCGCCGACGGAGATATCGTCCTGAGCTTCAGGGGAAGGCATGATGTTCGATTCGATAGTCGGGAGATTTAGGAGGTCGACAGAGGTGTAACCGTTGTCCCCGAATATAATCGCTGACGAGAGTCGGTTAACCAGTAGATGACTGGTAGCACAGCGGTGCTAAATGGCAAATATGTACTCGAGATGTCTAGAAGACTGCCACTAATCACACATTTTGCCTGGTCAGCTTCAATAAATTTCCATGGGTGGCCATATCCAAGTTTGTATGGAGGGGTAATTTATAGGAGCTTTTGTCTGAGCGCTTTTTGCCCAGTACTTTTTGCCCCACCAACAACAAACCAGGATATAATCGAAAAAGAATCGCGATGGTAGATTTGGGGAGAAACATACTTCAACTGGATGGTTTTTTCCAATAATTCAGTCTTTCTCACTGTCTCTTTTTCGCCGGTGGGATCGACACCAGCTCGAAATCCCTCGAGTAGTTTTACCGTCCGCCCTTCTTCAGGACGGACCCGGTACCCCTAGCCAAACCACCTCGCCAGCGGCGAAGTCAAAAGCCAAGGCGGACTTGAAGAGTTGAGGATATGCGGGCACGTCGGACACGTCGGGAGGAGCGAGAGAGATGTTGAGGTCAGGAGCGACGGGGTTCGAGATAACCAACGAGTTGGCTGAGGAGATCGAAGGGAACGAGTACGGCGCAGACAGGCACATAGAGAAGTGGATAGTAGATTGATTTCAGGATGTAAGCGAAACACAGAAGAGTTCCCACAGAGGTCTGTGGAAAGAACAAAGCGTGGTGGCCTAAGTAGCTGAAGTGAATTGAAAATCATCTCGCTTTGAGGCGGAAATCCGGGGCGGCGCTATTCCCAATGCGGTGCTCACGTGAGATTGATTACTTGAGCTCTTATAGGCGGAGAGAGTCCATATCCCATTGAAACTTGAACGCAGGGGATAAGGGGATAGGGAAGGTAGGGGAAATGATCCATAATCCATTGGCATCGTTGAGGAAAAGGGTCGTTTGCTCTATACATAATATTTTTCCTTTGTGATCACTTCATTTGATGACATTCCATGCGTGGGCGATCCGTTCCTGCAGGCAATTCCCGATCCGATCCCGATCCCCATGCACGGTATCACCTCCGTGCCACCTCGTGGCTCTCAAAGAATGCTTGTGACCGCGTGATCTCAATTCCAGATCTTTCAACGAATGCCAAGGCACTGGGCTTCTCAACTCGTACGGTGACCCTCTCATTGCCAAAGTCCACAGTCACAATGCGTGCAATGAAAGTTGCCAGTGCCTCTACAGTTTGGAATGAGGTCTGGTCCACTTTCTGTAAAATAGTTAGCTCTGATAAGACATTGCAGTACCATCGTAGATGATAAAATATGTTTGAAAAAGACGTTGCTGATACATACCTCTGCGACAGCCCTCGTCATAGCCTGGTAGGTATCAACAACCGTGGACCCCCCACGCCAGCTGTCCGGGGCCCTTGAATTCCAAGTAAATAATAACAGCCTGCCTCTCGACACGTTCATGGGAGTTGACACCCAGAATAGGATAGCATCGGATTCCATCAAGGGAAAACTCCTCCTCCAACACAACAGGATATCTACCCATCGACTGACCAGCCTGCGAGGCATCAGGAATCTGAGTGTATCCCCAAACGGTCACACTGCGATACTTGAGTCCTTCCTCAGCACGCAGCAAGGCCTTGGGCAGATGAAGAGACACTTCGCATTTTCCATAGGTATTCTCAATCGGCCACGAAGCCGGCGCCGGGGTCTGCGGGATTCCCGAAAAGCTATTCCGCGGGCTCTGGTGCACATGCGCCATTCTCCGCACCCCCGCGGCCGTTTCGTCCAGCAGACCCAGGCCACAATTCGCGACAATTCCAGCCGTCACACGGGGATCTTGGCCCACGGCGCTGGCTTTCATTTCCTCTCGCTGCGTACCTTCAAGGCTGATCATGCGCTTGTGAGGATGTTCGGGCGACGAGGTGTGGTGCGCCATGTCGCGGATATCTGACTCCAAGCGGCGAAAGAGCTTGCCGTAGTCGAGAGAGAGGGAGACATCGTCGGCAGCGGCGGCGGCAATGGCGGAGGAGTAGGAGAGCTTCAGGGTAGCGGTGCAAGGTTGAGCTTTCTCAGGGCGATGCCATGCGTCTGGAGCTGCAGGGAGAGGAAGTTCGATGTCGCGGAGGCGGACGCTATCCAGGACCGGTGGGACCGTAGGAATATGGATGGCTGATCTTTGCTCGGCCATGGTGAAAGGATTGGTCTTTAGGGGCCTGCGGAGGTGTCGGAGTTGAGAAGCTATGGAGGGGCGGACATTCTGAAGTTTAGTGGGGGACCCCCGGGAAGCGGGCAGTTTTTTGCGCGGGGCCGCAGATCATGACGGCAATACATTTGCGAGCTATCGCCTCAAACGGTGCTTGTGTGATCTATGTTTCCATGAAACACTCGTAGAAGTATATTTGAACATCCTACATTCCGTTATTTTATTTAAAGACTCACAACTGCAGGAAAGGAGAACCTGTGACGCTCTGGAACTTTGTCTGTCGATTGTTGGGCTAAGAATAGCTATCTGAACGCGTGGTTCACGATCATAACCTCCATCCATCACTACCGGCCGGGTCCTCAAGGCGATCATCACAGTTGAACTTCAATCCAGTGGGAAGGGAGTTGACTGCTTCCTTCCTTGTCCCCGGAACCTTCGATATTTGTACAAATAAAACGAGCTGCGAAGCAAAGGAAAATGAAAAAAAGAAGATCAAGAACATAAATCATCTGAGAAAAAATAAAGAAATGAGTCCAGTACAATTGACGGCAGTCAATATAGCTCCACGGAAAGTAATCCAGAGAAAGCCAATTGTCTAGGCCGAGCCCCAGGAAGAAGCATGCTTCGGGAAACCATTGAAGTATTCTGGGAAAGAGCACGCTGAAACCTCGGCAGATGGAAAGTTGAAAAAGAATCGTTGGCACCATAAAATGAATAAAGTCAATACGATACGTGACGGGTATTGGAGTTAGGGAGAAGAGAGAAAGCATCTGCAGAGAAAGCATCCGAAGGGACGATGGGGTGAAACTTGGCCTGATTACCAGTAGCGAGGAGGGCGGTCATACGCAACATACTCTCCTCTGGGCGGCGAACGAGGACGGCCATAGGGGGCCCTGGCCGCTAGATATGGATCATCATAGTGGCGCGGGGGAGGAGGAGGCCGGGCATCATATGGGTCCTCATAGGGACGACGCGGCGGTGGGTAGTCTTCCATCCGAGGACGCGGGGGAGTGCGACGTCCATATCCATCACGTTCGTAGTACTCTCGACGAATCGGAATGGGTGACCGTTCACGATAGTGGTCCCGGGGGCTGTATCCTCGAGGAGCCGGGAACCTTCGGTCATATTCATCCATGGGGGGGGGTATGGTCGACGCGGGGAACGAGACCGGTACGGATCTCGAGGGGGACGGTCTTCATGGCTCTGGATCTGGAACGAAATGAGACGGGGTCCTTGTGTTTATCCTCCAATCCGGGAATGGAAATAGAAATGAAAATGGGCTCCTTACATCGGCAAGGCAAGTCACACGTGAGCCTTTGAAGTCCCGCTGGTCTAGCTTCTCCACGGCTGTCTTGAGGTCGTTGGCCGTTTCGAATTCAACAAACCTTTTGTCCTTGTCAATTGGGGTTTCTTGGGATAGGGGAGCCAGGCCTGGCTGGGGGATGCGAAATGGTAAACCCACCCTTTTCCTTGTTCACGGCCAGTTTCCGAATAGACGACATCCAGTCCAGACTGTCGAGCGAAGTCTTTAAGGTCCTATCGAATGGTGAGTCCAGGTCCAGGAAGAAAGATGTCCGGGCAGGTCCAAGTGGAAAAATATGTCTACGTCCAGGCATGGTGGTATCCAGAGATGGTCTTTGGCGCAGGAGATAGACTCCCGGTCCTCAATAACGCTAATGCCACTCTGCCTTGGGAGGTACCCAAGTCAGAGCTAAAAAATGCGAGAGAGAATTGCCGTGATTCCAAGAGTCAAGGACCAATGACTCGGTAGAAGACCATATGCTGGATAGCATGCAGGTTTCAGGAAGAGAAAAATGGCCGGGGGGTATGAAGTCCGGGGCATCCAAGGAAAAATGGGTATGGGCTGCTAACCTGCCAACTTGTTTCTGGGAGACCGGAGATTTGCATCCGGAACATGGTACGACGAGGGCGTGGAGCAGCGGGACGATCCGAAGGAGGACCAGGGAATGTCTCCTTGCGTCGGGGGCCACGCGCAAACTGCACAGTTAGCCGCTCGCCTTTGAAGTCACTGCCATCTATCATGCATTTAGGTAAGTCGATGGTAACGGTTTGTTCGGTCTAGAAAGCGACACATACGGAAGGCTAGCTAGGTTGTTAGTCAAGGGTGATGTGAGTGGGTGTCAAAAAGGGCCGTACCGGGAACGACGTCGCGAGCGTCCATGGCATCTTCATACTCGATGAAGCCGAAGCCATTCATCAGCTTGATCTCTGTAATCTTACCCGATCCATGGGTACTGAAATGCTCCTCGATATCCTGTTTAGTCACTGCAGCTCCGTGTCAGCTGCGCATCGCATAAAACCAAAATTCATATGAATCGAGAGAGATAACAATCAAAAGTCAGAAGACGACTAGGCCCCCCTCCCCCAGGTGGGCTCCTGGAAAATGGACCCTCCAAAGAAAGTGGGCCACGGCAGATTTGGCGGGGGGCAGGGAATAAATCCATAGGCGCAGGCTCGAATGCGCCAGAGTCGACATGCATGGGCAAAAGGAGGGCTGTGAGCTTACCATTGCGGGGAAGATTCCCAAGGTAGAGTCGGGTGGATGACACCTCCGTCATGATTCCGAGAGGTCAGAACACGATAAATCCTGGGAAGATGCAGATAAATGGCCAACAAAAGAAAGGTGGCCAAAGAAAGCGCCCGATCGGGTGAGTGTTGAACGAGATCAAATCAGCGAAGACCGACGGGGGTAGTGGGAAGGTGTGGCGGTGGGCGTATCAAGCTCCTCAATAGGAAAAGAAGTTGGGTTGGGTGAGAAAGTTGGGTACACACGCTGCAGATGAGGAAAAAAAAAAACTGGAGGAAAGATCGAGGAAGATGCAGCGCAGAGTGAAAAGGGGGGGGGAGGAAGGGAAGGTGGAAAGCAGATCTGGCGGTCACCGGGGCGCTTGGGGAAATTCTGGCCGCCTCACTTTTTCTTCGTTTCTTTTTGCTGTGACCGGTGCGATTTGATGTGTGCCCCATCAAAAGTACGCGCCGGTGGCGGATGGAAAGGCTCCCTCTTTTCTTTCAACAGTAAACAACAATCAACAATCAACAATAAGCACCGCGACTAGTGGTCAAAATCTGGGTTCACGGTAGATCCCGCCTCGTGGACTCTCCACCTTCATTCCACGGTTCTGCCCGCCCATTCCATACCTCCCTATGGGGCGAATAGGGTCTCGTATCCTATGACCATACAACAGCAGTTGTATCCAAATCTACAAAAGTACGAAAGGTCCGTGAGGTGGCTGTGGCTGTGAATGTGAAAGTGACAGAAAAAAAGCGGCCGCTTTTCTAGGTATTCGAATTATATACAATACAGCGGGCTCGTGCCCGGGGCTATCTTCAACAACAACCAGAAAATTTAGAAAAAGAAGAAATAGACAAAACTACTGACATGAACAAGCTCATGTGTTCGTATACTTGGGGCCTTCTCCACCTTGGGGTGTCTGCCAGTTGATGTCCTGAGTAGGCACCTTGATATCGCAAGTCTTGCAGTGGATGCAGCTAGGCAACAGTCAGTATGGTATCTTTGAGAGAGGGGCTGAGTGAGAAGGGCGCGGGACTTACTTTTGCGAGTTGATCTGGAATCGAACCCCGTGCTCCTTGCTGGGATCCTCGACGTATTCGTACACGCCGGCAGGGCAAAACCGGTTCTCTATGCCCTTATACACAGGCCAGGCAAGATCCTTGTGCTTGTCCCAATCTTCCACCTGCAGGTGGACCGGTTGGTCCTCTTCGTGGTTGGTACCGGTGCGGCTCACGCTGGTGAGAATGTCAAACGTAATTTCGCCATCGGGCTTAGGGTACTCGATCTTGTTGTATTCTGAGGCGGGCTTAGTAGCGGCAGCATCGGTGCCGTGGTGGTTAAGAGTCCATGGCACACGTCCCTTCAGGACATAGGCCTCCAATCCCGAGTAGACCAGGCCACCGAAGAACCCCAGGGGGCTGTTGAAAGATGGACGAATGTTGCGCACTTCCTTGAGCTCCTTCCAAATAGATGAATCGCGGAGAGCCTTCTCGTAGTCAAAGAGGAACACGGTGCCGTCGTCCTGCTCACCCTGCAGAGCCGCAAACGCCGACTCGGCAGCCAACATACCCGACTTCATCGCGGTATGGGTACCCTTGATCTTAGGGACATTCATGAAACCAGCAGTGTCACCAATCAGAGCACCGCCAGGGAAGGCACACTTGGGGATGGACTGGAAACCACCCTCATTGAGCGCACGAGCAGCATAAGAAATACACTTGCCTCCCTCAAGCACTTCCTTGATCATGGGGTGCTGCTTATACTTCTGGAACTCTCCATACGGTGAAAGCCACGGATTAGGGTAGTCCAATCCTACTACCAAACCGATGCTCACCATGTTATCTCCGAAATGGTACATCCAACCTCCACCGTAGGTATCCTTAGGTAGAGGGTAACCCATCGAGTGCGTAATAGCACCGGAATTAAACTTCTCCGGCTGGATCTCCCAAATCTCCTTGATTCCAAGACCATAGGTCTGGGGCTGGCTATCGCGGCGCAGGTCGAACTTCTTGCTAACCTGCTTGGTCAAGCTGCCATGGCAGCCCTCAGCGAGGAGGGTGACGCGAGCATGGAACTCCATTCCACGTTCAAAGGTATCCTTAGCCTGCCCATCTCGCCCGAGGCCCAAGTCATTGGTCGCAACACCTTTCACTGATCCATCTGGCTTGTAGACCACCTCACTAGCCGCGAATCCGGGGTAAACCTCAACCCCCAGCTCCTCGGCACGCTCACCCAGCCACCTTGTCAACTCGCTCAAACTGATAATAAAGTTTCCCTCATTGTGCATTTGTGGGGGCGTGGGCAGGGGGAAGGAGGATTTCTCGGTCAAAAAGCGCATCTTATCGCCCTTGGCGGGGGTCGCGCCCTCGAAGCGCGAAGGGTTGTCCTCGGACAGCCAGTCCGGCAAGAGCTCGTTCAGTGCGGTCGGTTGAAGGACGTTCCCAGAGACGAT